AGAAGCCTCAAGTCGTCGTGGCCAAGCAGAAGCCCTCCTGGCTTGGCCACGTTGTGTAGTGCCCGAGTGTTATCGAGATTAGAACGGTGGTCACCACCGTTATATAGTGTGTTTTACAGTTGTATTACAGTTGTGTTAAATAGTGTTGCCTCCATACGAGTGTGTGCCTCTGTCGAACCATTACACATGGTGGTGGTAGGGGTCTTGGCAGTGGTGTGGTGGCAAGTAGTTGCAGTGAAATGAGGTTGTGGATGTGGTAATGGCAGAGATCGTGTAAATAGTGGTTGGGGTAGTGACTGTGGCAGTAAAAGTATTTTAGATTACGGGACCTTACCCCCAGGGGTCAGCAGGTCAAGCTTCAGCCTGGTCACGTGGCAGAGCTCCACACAGCAGCCAGAGGAGCTGCTGTCACTACTCACTCGCTCACCCACTTACTCACCCATTCACTCACGCTCTATCCCTTGCCACACATTATTTCATTCATTCGGCAGTCCCTCGGGGATCGAGGATGACGTCCATCAGGTTTAAGTGGTGGTTCTTGAGGTGGTTGAGAAGTCCAATTCTAGACCCGCAGATCTTCGGGCATTGGGGGCACGCGGTCCCAGATGGAAGTGGAATCTGGAGTGCCGGATTGGCTTCCTTTTCCTTACTTTTTTGGCAGGAATCCGCTTCGGCATCGAGACGTTAGGCCTCGAAGTTGTCCACGGCCTGGTGGATGCAGCGGCGCCACCCTCGACGGTCAGCAGTCTGTTGCTCCTCCCAGTCTGGAAGGCTGATTTTTCTACACTTCAAGCAGGACTTGAGGGTATCCTTGAACCGGATCCTTTGTCCTGCCGACCAGAGGTTGTGGTCGGCATTCGCCCGGGGGGTGCAGTGTGCTTAGTATTGGTCGAGGCAGTCGGCATTTGCCCAGGGAAGGACGGACGATCGCCACTCGCCGTGACTCGAGGGACTCCTGGAGAGGACCAGTTGTTACTGCAGGACCAAGTCTGTGCATGCGTTGTGTTGGTCGGGGTGCCATTGGAGACGTCAGCCAAGTCCCGAGACTATAGCCACGTGGAATCTCTGAGCTCTGCCGGGAGAATAAAATTCGTGACCAAGACAGCAACTGCTTTGAGTTGCTCAAAGCGCTGTTGATAACAACCAAGTCCCGAGACTGCAACTGCTTTGAGTTGCTCAGGGCGCTGTTGAAGACGCAGCCAAGTCCTGAGACTGCCGTTGTGTGCCCTGGACTTCTGTTGCATTGTTTCGTCACCCAGGAGTGGATCGTGCATCAGGGTAGGTGCGAACGGTCGTCGCGTTTTTCTGTATCTGTTTGGTTACCATGGTGTTGTGATTGTCAACACTCAGGGGTGCTGTGTGTTCAGTTAGAGTTTCGAAAGAGTTTTGAATAATTTGGTTTCACGGTGTTCTGTAATTGTTCACATGAGGGGGCGCTGTGCTGATGTGCGCTGTTAAAGTTGCCGAGAGTTTTGAGAGTTGTTTGTACTCGGTGTTCTCTTTTAATCGACGCGTGGGGGCGCTGTCAAGATGTTAAGCATTTTGAAGAGTTGGTTGTACTTGGTTGAGAAATTAGCATCCGTTACAGTGTATTCGTATCCTTGTGTATAGTGCATCAATAGTGCATAATGAACCAAAGCATTGTTAATACATTCCATATATTGTTAAGATTTTCTGTATTCCGGATCGAGTTATTTGTCGATCTCTCTGCCGCTGTTAAAGCACGTTTAAAAGTCTGCATTGGTGTCCTATAATATTCAGGGAATTGCATGGGAGAGAAAATGGAGCCAAACTCCTCTCTCTCCCTGATGAATAGAAAAAGACGCAACCTTCAAAATGACTACAGAGGTAAGAGAAATACACATATTCAAGGGCCTCTCCATTGACATAGATAGTCGGGGGGATGTTTGTCTGGTTGGATGGCGTTTGGTAGAGGACCTTGGTTTTGGTGATGTTCAGGGTTAAGCCAAGGATATTATATGCAGAGTTGAATACATCGAGCAGTCGTCTGCAAACTACAGGTCGTGGATGTCCTTTGTGGTCAGCTTCTTCTTTGCCCGAAAACGTCCATGGTTGAAGGGTTTCCCGTCCAGACGGTACTGGATGGCGATGCCGATGCCAGATGGAAGGCGGCCGTGGACAAGGAGGGTGACCATGACCATAAAGATGGTGAATAAGGTGGTGGTAATCACGCAACCCTAACACCCGTTCGGATCTGGATGGCATCCATTTCAGATCCCCCACTAAAAATGGTGGTCATATCGTCGTGTGGGATCCGCAGGATGGTGACAAACTTCACCAGACATCCAAGCCGTTGGAGGACGTTCCAAAGGGAATCCTGGTTGCGGGAGTCAAATGCCTTTAACAGTTGTTGATGCTGCTCCTGACACTTTCATTGCATGTCAGGCAATGAAGAGATCTTCAGTACCCCGGGATGGTCAGAATCCACACTGTATCTCCGGCAAGAATTTCTCAGCAACAGGACGAATGAGCAGGATGCAGGCCAGGGTATTTCCTGCTATGGACAAGATGGAGACCCCCTTGTAGTTTATACAGCATAACTTGTTCCCCTTCTTGAAGATTCTTACTATGGTCGCATTCCTGAGGTCGCCGGGGAGGTCTTCTTCGTGCCTGATCCGGAGGATCGGCTTGTGGAGCCTTTAAGTCAGCAGGTGGCTGCCAGTTTGGAAGACTTCAGCTGGGATGCCATCTGGACCACAGGCTGTTGGACTTCATCCGCTTGATGACACGCCTCAGCTCACCGATTGTTGGTGGCTCGCCGAGATGGTGCTCTGTGGGGGTGTTGTGGTTTGGCTTGGGGGGATTCATTTGTCACGGTGGATTCCTTGCTCAGGAGCTGTTTGAAATGCCCTTTCTAGCATTGACTGATGGCATTGTCGTCTTTCAGGAGCTGGGATCCATCGTGTGGGCATGATTGGGTTTGTCCTGTAGACCATGGTACAAAGGTTGTCCTTGTAGCCTGTAAGAAGTTCCGCATGTAGTGCTGGTCGGCAATTCCCTCTACCTCGCATACCTTTTCCACTCACCAGCTGTTCTTCACGGCACAGATCTGGCATTGCATTTCAGCCTTCAGTTGGTGGTACGCTGCGGTCTTGCGTCGTGTCCTCGGATGGTTTTAGCAGGCGAGGAAGGCAGCGTGCTGTCCTGGCCAATGGTTCCGCTCCATTGGCCAGGGTGTGGTTACGTCTAACCCGGGCATTGAAGTTGCCCAGGAAGATGACCTTGTCGCTCATCGGGATGGAAGTGAGGGCATCATCGAGATCAGAGAATTGCTCCTTGATGCCATCGTCCGTGTCGAGGGTCGGGGCACAAGCGCTGGTGACTGTTGCGCATTGTTTTAGCCGAGGTGGAGGTGGAGAGTTATCAGCCTTTTGTTGATACCTGTGGGGAGTTCCAGGAGCACATTAGTAATTTTATTTTTGACTGCAAAGCCGACTCCGTGGATCCGAGATTCACTGTCCAGAAGAAGGTTTAATACCCTCCTCTCACTTCCTCCCTCATTTTCAACTCTTCGGGAAGTCGTGTTTCATCACTGAGCAGCAATATCAATGTTGTGCTTCGCTAACTCTCTGGACACGATAGCCGTTCTTCACTATGGGGACCTCATTTGCCAGTAAAAATATGATAATTGGTTCTTTACCCTTCTATCTGGCAACAAAACTGACACCTTTTTGCAAGGAGTCATGTTTGCATAGACCGCAATACCTGCAGTCATAATACAAACAAAAGAACATAACTCTGATAATGTGCACTGTCCCTGAAGTTGATTGGTCCACACCCGAGACAGCTTTCCTTCGTTCAGGGGAATCATTCGATGTTCTCCATGAGTGTTCTTATATTCCAGATGGCAAAATGTATCTTTCTTTTTGTTTGTTTAGCTTCTGTTTGACCGCAAGTATGGTGATCCCGCTTGGTGCGGTTTCCCAGTCAGGAAATATGGGATAGCCTATGTTGAGGGCTCCTTTTCTAAACCCTTCCCCCATTTGAGGGTGAGCAGAGGGCATTCTAAAGACTGCTCAGCCGCAGATGTTGCTGCTGAAGGCCCCATCCATCCCAGTGCGGATGTCCAATGACTATCACACATGCACTACCTACATGCAGTGTCTTGACCGAGGGCTTCCAGGTTCACTGCCCTGCCCCCTTCACCAATCGTCCATCTCTGCAGGACTTTCCCTCACCTGACAAAAGCCTGCACTTAAGAGTTAATTTACATGGGGACCCCGGGGCGTGGGTGGGATCCACACCACCTTGACAGGCCAGTGGCTGGGTCCAGTGGCATGGTGAGCCGCGACTGGAGCCACTTCTCCCGCTGCAGCCTTCGTCCGCCTTCACAGCTGTTGAGACCCACAGTCTCTGCCGGTTCGGACGTTGATATAGACTTCTTGGATCGATTTAAGGTTGGAACCTACCCTTTGAACTTGCCGCCATGGGTGACGATACCAGGAGCACAAGGCTCCAGACAGCTTCGCTCTCGGGATCATGAGAACACGCAAACCCCTCCACTGCAAGGGGTGGCAATCCTCACTCGCTCACTCACCCACTTACTCAATCACTCACTCGCCATCCCGTGCCATACAACCAGAGGAGCTGCTGCCACTACTCACTCGCTTCCTCAACCACTCACTTGTTCACTCTCTATCCCATGCCACACAAACGTCACTGCTCGCTCTGTGCGGGCCCCCTGCACTGCCCTGGATCTTACAATGAGTGACCTGCGAGCGCCAAGATTTGCTCAGCACTGGGAGGTGGGGGGGGCATTGCCTCTGGGGTAGAGACACGAAGAGAAGATTCCGCAGTGGTAAAACTGTTATATGAATAGTTAACATGCCATATGAATGGTTACTTATCATTCAGTTGTAGCTAACATTAGACATACTACTAGGTACCGATTATCATTGAGCAGTGGGCTGACAAAGGGCTGAAACTACAATAGTTAACTGTAAACAAAGACAAGAAAGTTTGTGAATTCACGAGGGTTTTATTGTAGACATCAAACTTAAATAAAAACGAAGATGATCGAGTCAAACGTGATTTATTAGAACCGAGTTTTTGCTGTGAAATCGTATTTACAGGGCAGACGAACCAAAGGAAGCCACTTCAACACAAATAATGTTAACGACAAACGGAGATTTAAGGAAATCTACACCAGCCGCGGCATTCACCACGGGGGAGGGGGTGGGGTTGGGGGTGCGGCTCCATCGGCACTGCAAAAAAACCAACGGAGTCAAAATTCGCGTTGTTATTTTGTTGTTGTTGGGGTGTGAGAGAGAGAACCATGAACTTTGGGGAGGACTCATCCACACCTGTGAACTGTGGGGGTAAGGAGGGGAAATGCAGGGGGGGGGGTATTGCGGCATCTCCTTGGGTCCCCCCCCTCTGCGTAGGTCCCAATTGCTGAGTCGACAGCGACTCTGGGACGTCACCCCCCCCCAACCACCATCGCGATCTAACGATAGATCCCTGCGTTCAACTTTGCGAGCAAGCCATCGGCCGCCCCCGAGACATCAATGGCCTTCACTCAAGCGTTGGAGTCGTTGGCGGTCTCGGCCCGGTTACCGACTGCCTGGGACACAGCTGCTGCACACACAGGGGGCTGAACCTCTGCGGTCGTTTATCTTACTGCCGACGAACATTCGCCGCTGAGCCGATCGATCCTAGCTGCGTAACAATTCCCAATCCTGCAAAGTCGAGGGCTCGTGTCGTGCTCTGCTCTAGCAAGCAGTGTCAACCGGCTGTTGTCTCGATTGTATGGCCCCCGTCCCTCATTTGCACCATCTCGTCAGCATCGTCCGATCCCGTTTGTTAACGTTCAGTTTGTGAATTCCCAAGCGTCGCAAATGAGCCACTCGCTGTGTGTGTGGCCAGCGAGACAATCGTACGTAAATGAGATCCCGACAACCTTCTCCACACGCACACCAACACGCACCGTCACGCGTGTCAACAAATAGGGTCGTCGTCGTCCTTGTCACATGCGTCAAGTCAATCGGAGGCACCGGCTTTCTTGCTGCGGGTGGTGGGGGGGGACCAATCAGTGGCACACAGAGTTGCTGACAGAGACGTTCCACAGAGTTGCCCGCCACAAAGGGTCACCCCCCCCACAGAGTCGCTCCACAAAGTCACTGTGTGCCCCCACAGTCACCCCCCACACAGTCACCCCACACAGAGTCGCCCACCAGTGTGTGCGGCCCCTATAAGTTCGTCGCGACGGGCGCCGTCTATCCCGGGGATTCTCTAGCACTTCTCCCAGAACTCATTCCATCGTGCCGGCCCCAACGCGCTCCCCCTCTTCGCCCACCCCCATCACCCACTCTCCCGTGGACAGCGGATCGCTGCGTGGGCCTCCCAAACCGCAGGGTCGCTTCAACGTCCGGTGCTCACCGCCGCCGCCCTCGAAATCAAACGCAGCAAACGAGGGACATTGCGACCCCACCGGGGAATCATCACCACCACGACAACGACGACAACGACGACAACGACGACCACGACGGTAACTACGACAAATAATGACGTCACCGCCACTCACGCCAATTTGGTCACTGGGGGTGGGCGCCGCTCTCGCTTGATAAAAAAAAAAACACGTCGTCGTGTCTTCTGACGCTGTCCGTGGTCGGGTTCGGTAGCTGCTCCTCGCTCCATTATCCCATCGTGCTCCTCCCCACCCCCATTCCACCCCCCCCCGCATAAAATTCCAGAGCACGCCCCCCCTCCCCCTACACCCACCCAGCGCTTTCCTGAGAAAGCACTTTGATATAAAAAAGACAGCCGCCCCTGGTCCAGGTGATGATGCTGTGGCTTGCGATGACGCTGTTGCTGAGCAATGACGACGCTGCGGCTGAACGACGACGCTGCGGCTGAACGACGACGCTGCGGCTGAACGATGACGCAGTGGTTGAACGACGACGCTGCGGATGAACGACGACGCTGCGGCCGGCTGAGCGACGACGCTGTGGCTGAGCGACGCTGTGTATGAACGACGACGCTGCGGCTGAACGACGACGCTGCGGCCGGCTGAGCGACGATGCTGCGACCGGCTGAGCGACGATGCTGCAGCCGGCTGAGCGACAATGCTGCAGCAGTGGGCGCATTCACGCATTGCGCTGCTGCTCCTTCTGCTGCTGGTGCAGGGCCAGGATGAGCTCTTTAATCTCCTGCCTCTTGTGGCGAGTGGCGGCCGGGGGGAACCACCCGTCCAGGCGCATGGGGAGGTCGAAACTTGTCACGGGCGTCTCCACACACACACACAAAGACAAACATGCTGTTAGCGAGCAGCGTCTATGAAGGCTGGCACTGTGGCACACAAGGGGGTGGGTGATCAGCACCGCGTCCGAACGCCTTTGTCTCCCCAGTGGCGATGTTTACTACACACCGCACCAGGTAATAATTTGAAACTGAGTCGACCTAGAGGAGGCCCAGGACCGGTTCAGATAATCGTGACCGGTGTTGGCCGTGAGCGAGAATCAAACTCGGGTCGCCGGATTCATAGCACAGCACGCTAACCGCTACACGTCCGCATGTAAACCTCAGACAACAACCGCCAATCGCCACTAGGTGGCGGTGACATCACCACAGCGCTTGTGCAAGGCTGGTGCACTTTAAGGCCACGAAGTTTTGAACGCCCGCTGCCAGGAGGAGGTCACGGGAAAGACCCAGGTGGCATGGGTTAACTGAGATGACTGGCTGATGCCCCACTGTGGCAACTTGACGTATTTCAGTCGCCCGTTTCGCCCCCTCTATCTGGCCAAACAAAAACTGTTTAGCCATGTGGTGGCTGGGCATGCAGGCTATATGACCCAGCCAACGCAGCCTTGCCTGCCAGAAGAGCTCACTAAAGTGACCTCGTCCAGACCTTTCAAGGATTTGTGAGCTCCTTACGCAATCCAGCTGGGTTAAACCCAGGATGCATTGTAGGTAGGCCAGCCCAAATGTTTCTAACCGGCAAAAATGTTCCACGAGGGGGGGGGGGGGGCGTCCACATTTCTCAAGCAAAGAGAAGGGAGGGCATGACCGTGGCCGAGAAGACCCGAAGCTTTGTGTGGGGCAACAGCCCACGCATGTACACACAAGCACGGGCACACACAAGCACACACACACGCGTGCATGCATGCACACGGCCAGGTGCAATCCACTACGGGATGGAGGGGGCCTCCCAATTCTCCACCAACCAACATTGGACAGGGTATGTGTACGTGTGTGTGTGTGTGCGTTCAACTTCTTTCGCACCGGACATAGCCAACCGTGCTAAATCGCAGGTGCATCGGCTGCTGGACAGCGGGTGTGCTTCTCACCTTGAGGAAACTCTCGACGTATTGCAGCAGGAAGACCCCGCAGTCGCTGAAGTTGTCCTGCTGAGGCAGCAGCACGGAGCACGCGGGCATCGTGTCCCTGCTGAAGCGCCTCCGCGTGCCCCGCCTTGCCTCCCACTCCTCCTCCAAGTACCTACATAACCAACAACCACCATCATCACCACCAACAACAACCACCATCCCCACCATCACTGCCATCATCACCAATACCATTAACACCATCACCACCATCATCACCATTACCAACAACTACTATCGTCACCACAAACTTTCACCAACGACCACCACCATCTTCGTCAACAGCACCACCACAATCCCCGCTATTGCCAACACCATTATCACCATCACGACTATCCCCACCATTGGCAACATCATCATCACCACCACTATCATCAACACCATCGTCATCACTATCGCCATTCACCAACATCACCACCACCGTCTCCACCACTGCCAACACCACCCACCATCAACACCATCACCACCATTGCCAACACCACCACTGCCATCACCACCACTACCATTACCACCATCACCAACATCAGCACCACCACTATCACCACCATTGCCAACACCACCACTGTCATCACCACCACTACCATCATCACCACCATTGCCAACAATGGCTCCGGGGGCAGATAGGAAATTAAAGTTTAAATAATGTCACATAGGGCAGTCTGCGCAGACTTGGGAGACCATTGCTGCGTGCCGCTTTACCTGCTCTCAGACTGTTGATTGCTCCCCCCCCCCCTGTCCTTCCTCAACAGACGGCACCCTCAGCCAGCCACAACCACAGGGAGTGGACACTTCCTCCAATATTAAAGGCACAGTAGCCCCCAGTAGGGTCAAACTCCACCTTGCCCCATGATGTTATCCGAGCTGAGGAGTATCCCCCTCACCCAACACCTCACTGATATGCTCAAAAAAACCTGCAGACATGTTCCTGGGGGTCAAAGATCGGCTCACCATTCTTTCCTTTAAGGATGGTAGAATGTGTGGCTCTGCAAGTTACTTTTTTGAAGGAGTTAGAGGGATCACGAGCTACTGAGGGCAGTTTCCATCTCCTCAGCAAACCCGCGACCTCCACTCATCCTTGCAGCGCCGCACAGCTCTCCAAACCTCTGTTGATTTTCTGAGGTAGCCAAAACACCTGGGGACGTCTGGACTGTTTACTAAATACAGCCATAGCTGCATGAGCCACAGCACTGAACACCACCTCATTTCCCCTCAGCATGAACATCACCACCACGAACACAATCGCTTATGTTACCATCACCAACATCACATCACTCATGCATGGACACTCACCCAGTCACTCAGTCGCGCAAATCACACCATCAAAATCACTCATTGTAGTCACACCCAATCTCACACCTAGAAACTCACTGAATCCCCCACTCACACTAACTCATCAACTTACTCGCTTAACTTGGTGAGGAAGTTCCCCACTAACTCAACCACTCATGTTCCACTATAATTTTTTGATAAACTTTTAATTCTAACACACGCAGGTGTGTGTGTGTCTGTTTGTGGGGAGCGGAAGTGTAGCGGTTTGCGCGCTGCACTATGAACCCAGCGAGCAGAGTTCGATTCCCGCTCACGGCGAACACCGGTGACGACTATTTTAACCGGTCCTGGGCCTCCCCTAGGTCGACTCGGCCTCAAATTGGCATCTGTGTGGTGTGTAAAACATTGCTACTGGGGAGACAAAGGCGGTTTGGGAGTGGTGCTGGCCACCCACCCCCTCGCGTACCGTTCCGGCCTTCATCGGTGCTCGCAAACAGCACTTGCCCCAAAAGTCTTCCTGTCTATATGGGGGATCTTTGTTTGTTTAGTGTGTGCTAGTACAGTGATAACTTGGCAGTACCCTCCTGAAAACGAGGCTTGAGACCAAGTGCGGCATTCCTAGGCAACCAAGCGCTATAACGATGATGATGAGGTTTCTCTCCACGTGTTGGGAGCGGTGGCGCAGTGGCTAGCGCACTGATCTATGAACTTGGCGACCCGGATTCGATTCCCGCTCACGGGCAACACGAGTGATGATTATCTGAACTGGTCCTGGGCCTCCCCTAGGTCGACTCAGCCTCAAATGAACACCTGGTGTCATGAGTATTGAACATCAGCAGTGGAGAGACTGGCACCCAGGTGGTGCTGGGCACACCGCCCATTTTCGTGTCCATGCCGGCCGAAATAGGTGCTCACTAACAGCACTTGTCCCAAAAGGCCGTGTGGGCTACACGTAGGAGATGGTTGTGTTTTGCCCGTGTGTGTATGGGATCTATTTGCCCAGGTGAATCAATGCGACCCACACGCCCACAGCCCGGCACTTACTCCCAGATGGTGTCGAACACGTGGTCTCGGTTTGGACCACGAAGCGAGTCCATAAGAAGGATGCACGGTCTGCAGAGACACACACACACGTGTACATAAGTATACGCACACACGTACATATATACACGCACACACGTGTACATATATACACGCACACACGTGTACATATATACACGTGTACATATATACACGTGTACATACATACACACACACGTGTATACATACACACACACACACACAAGTACATATACATATATACACACACACACACAAGTACATATACATATATACACACACACACAAGTACATATACAACCACTATTTTCCACTAAGTGGCGGTGACGTCACCATGGCGTTTGTGCCAGGCTATGTGCACGCTAAGGCCATGTGAAGTGTTGAACGCCCGCTAGCAGGTCACGGGACAGACCCAGGTGCTATGGGTGGCAACCTGCTGTGTCCCAACCACATGGCGTTCCGCTCGTTGTTTTGATCGTCGCTCCTCTGCCCTCTATTGTTGCTGGAGGGTGACTGCCTGCAAATGCCCAGTAGCATCCTTCAGAGACCGAAATTGACACCACTGGTACCAGTCATCGGCACGTGCACTCAGCTCCACATCCTCCTCTACCACATCAGCCCAACTCTTTTATAGCCAGTGCAGTGCTAGTTTAGCCCCCTCTATCCAGCCAAACAAAAGCGGTCTGGCCAAGTGGTGGCTAGACATGCGGGCGACATGACCCAGCCAACGCAGCCTGGCCTGCTGGAGGAGCTCACCAATGGGACAGTGTCCAGATCTTCCAAGGAATTGTGAGCGCCTCCCACAATTCAGCTTGGTTAAACCTAGGATGGGACATCGGCAGGCCAGCCTTAATATTTTAAACTGGCACAGATGTTCCATTAGAGGGATCCACATTTCACAAACATAAAGGGAGGGCAATAACTGTGGCCGAGAAGACGCAGAGCTTCATGTGGAGTGACTGGCCAGGTAGTTTCTTGACAGATAACGCCCCTCGACTGCTTCGGAGACCTCTGCTGAAAAACCAGAATTGGTCATAATCATACTATCCATATTCAGCAGCAGCGCCTCCAACTCATTCTCAGAGTGAGCAGCAACCAGCAGTTAATCAGCATACATAACATGGTTGTCCAATAGGGAGTCATCCCTTGACCGCACCCAGACATCAATTAGCCTCCCATTGTATCTGTAACAGATAGAAATTCCTATGGTACAGCTATGTAAAGCTTATCGAACTACGTGGTCAAATATGTGAATTAATTAAACTACCAGACATACAGCTTTACCCCCGACATGCCCACCATTGTGAAGGTCACGAATGATTATAATCATAGGGTCAGAGGGACCCCAAAATCAGGACCAATAACCCAGAGCCCTGGCTTATTGATGATATCATAGGCCTTGACCAGGTCAATAAAGTATAGATGTAGATCCCACTGAAATTCCCTACACCTTTGCTAAAGCAGACGGACAAAGAAAATGCTGCCTGTATTGGACCGCCCTGGCCTGAAACCACATTGAGGCTCCATAAACCTCTCCTCAGCACGCTGCCTGGCAAGGGGGCGATGTTGAATAATCACTACCTTCCTGGACTCACACTGAGGAGGGAGATGCCCCTGTAGTTACAATCAGAACGGTCTCCCTTCAGAACGGTCTCCCTTCAGAACGGTCTCCCTTCAGAATTGGAGGGGATCCCTCCAATTCTGATGAACCTGTCCTGTGGTCCACAGTTGTAATGCCACATAGGGCAGTCTGCATACACACTTTGGAGATCATCACTGCCCGCCCCACTAAACCTGCTGTCAAGACTCTGGATCGCTCCTCATCCTTCCTCAATAGACGGCATCCTCAGCCAGCCACTACCACAGGGAGTGGACACTTCGTCCAATATTAAAGGCACAATAGCCCCTAGTAGGGTCAAACTCCACCTTGCCCCATGATGTTATCTAGGCTGAGGAGTTTACCCTCATCCAACACCTTACTGATATGTTCAGTAAAACCTGCAGACATGTTCCTGGGGGTTGGAGATCGGGTCACCATTCTTTCCCTTAAGGACGGTCTTATGTGTGGCTCTGCAAGTTACTTTTTTGAAGGACATAAAGTGGGATCACGAGCTACTGAGGGCAGTTTCCATCTCCTCAGCGGCCCACAACCACCACTCATCCTTGCAGAGCTACATGGTTGTCCGAACCTCTGAGTGAAGGCTGCGGTAAGCCTCCTCATTCTCTAACGTGGGATGTTATAGATGGCGGGAGTGGGCCCGTCAGTTTTTCTCAGCCAGCCAGAACACCTCCTCCTGAGCCACAATCCCGAACCTCAACCATTTTTTTCCGGCATCAGGAGGGTGGGAATAATTCCAACCACAGCCGAAAGCGATTAAAACAGTCTTCCCCACCACCACAATGGAAATATGACAGGCATATCTTGAAGATAACAGACCGATGGTCAGGGGGCAGGTGCCTCCACGGCAGGTTATATTGTCAAGGACATAGGTCCACATCCGCTGTTCCGTCACTATATGGTCCAGCAGATGTTCTTGCTTGGACCCGGCGTGCATCCATGATGTTGTGTGTCTGCCGATGCCGAAGAACATGTTGGTAATTACAAGCCTATGGGCTACACAGAAGTCTAGCAGCCTCCTTCCGTTGTTACCGAGCTGATCTGGCCCATGCCTTCCAATCACTCCGGCCCAATTGCCTGCATCACAACCCAGCAGGATGACTCTAACTCAAGGGGGCCACTTCAGCTAGCACCTGGAACAGGTCATGGGAGGCATCAAATTCATCAGCCTTGCCTGCGTCCCACCACCAATGTTCATCTTCGGTGGGGACGGAAGTCTCCAACCCTCCACCATTGCTCGCCTTCCTTTAATGGGGAGGCAAGCCCACAGTAGCCTGGACCTTACAGCTTCCCACGCCTCGCCTCCACACGCCCTCGCCCCCTTCAATCCTTTCGTACAGAAGCAGAGCCACTGCCTGTTATTTGGCAGTGTACCGCTCCCAAGTGGAAGACCGTACAACACCTCATGGTGACTAGAGTCAGAACCAGCACCACCAGATCTCTTGTATTCCAGAGGTCCAGGCGAAAAAGGAAAGGCAGCCTTTCCTCCGCAACGAGCATTCGGATATTCCACATGGCCAACTGCAGTGGTTTTCTGTTTCTGGAGGAACCCCGAAAACGGGGTTCAGTCTGGCCCCGCCATTTGGGGTTTGGCCAGACGGCGTCATAAACAAACACGCACAAAAGACAAAAACAAACACACATGGACACAATCAGACACACAGACACACGTACACACTGGGGACCCTGGGTCCCAGTCTCCCTGGAACCTGGTCTCTCTGGGACCTGGTCTCCCTGAGTCTCACTGTGGACCATGGCACATGGTCGCTCTGTGGTTCTCACTGTTTGCAGATCTGTGGGTTCTGTGCAAGCCCGTTGTGCATGAACTGTGATGTGTAGTCATGGTCGTCTTCATGCCAGGCCTCCTCCTCTTCATCCTCCTCTTCATCCTCCTCCTCATCCTCCTCCTCATCCTCCTCATCTTCATCCTCCTCATCTTCATCCTCCTCGTCGTCCTCCTCCTCGTCGTCCTCCTCCTCGTCTCTCTCTTCATTGTCTTGGTCCGAGTGGGTGTCAAAATTGTTGTGGCACTGTGGGGTGTCACGCGATCACAATCATCACCAACATCATCACAATCATCACCAACATCATCACCATCACCAACATCATCACCATCACCAACATCATCACCACCTCCAACATCATCATCATCATCAACACAATCATTATCATCATCACAACCATCACCAAAATCATCATCACAACCATCACCAAAATCATCATCACAATCATCACCACAACCACCTATCATCACAAAGCATCATCATTCATGCGACCCAACATCACCACCACCACCACCATCAACAGCACAGTGCACTGTGGGTACACACCTGGTCCAGGGGCGGAGAGGAGGGGCTGCCCATCTGTGCTGCCTCCATCTCTGTGGCAATGTGGGCGGCTGGGCCGGGGGGTAGAGGAGGAGGGGGGGGTCACACATAGGTCCCCCCGTTTAGTAGCCGCACTCTCATCATAGTCACCACCAACGCCATCCCCACCGCTCGTTCAGCCAAGACCATGACTCTTTATTTTGAGGAGGGCTCCTGCCAGGCTTGTATAGCAAGGACCCAATGCAGCTGGTGCTGTGATCCCCAACTGAACAATGTGCGGCTGAGTTTTTGTCAACATTTGGACTTGCGATGGCCATACACAATGGCCATTCCTTTACCGAGTGTTTTGGGTTAGAGATCGCATGAATATAAAAGTTGTGCCGTTAAACCTGCCAATACCTTACTAGTACAGCACACCGGTGTGGTGGAGAGTCAACCCATTACGACATTTACAATTACTCTCCAACACACAACCGGTGTGCTGTATTATTAACGAATTGGCACGTTTTGTTTTCGTAAAAAAAAACCTTACCAATTGGTTGTGTCTGGTGGTGGCGGGTTTAACGACATATTTACATTTACGCAATCTAACTCTCGTAAACGATGTCACAGCAGCATTTATTTATTTACCAGGTGTAAGGCCCCCAAATGAGTTGTGCAGCTTTTTTCAGAAGCGATCTGGCCGTCACGAACGGTAGCAGCTCAATCAAGCGGCTTATCATCATCAGCATCACGTGGACGTTTATAGCAGCAGGCAAATGCTCTCGATGCGTGATGTCGATAATTATAAATGTGGAGGGAAAAACCCGAGGACCCGGAGACAAAATCCACGTGACCATGGGGCGAGAAAGATGCAGACTACAAATATACAGCAGCAGGCATCGTCAGGGTCGGGATCGAACCCATGAACCTCCTGTATACCAGGCGAGGCAGTTAACACCTCCAAACGACTGCAAAGCGGTCGGCGCGCAATACGATTGCACAGCTCATACATCAGCGCAGATTAATAAATGATAATAATAAATCAGGGCAGCCTGCCGGATTCTAACCATGCCGGATTCTAACCGTGCCGCCGTTTAAAAGGGAGGAACAGGAGACAGTGACAGGGCCAGCACGGGCAAGTGAAAGGTCTCCCACCTCGGGCCCGAGCATCGAGATCCATCAGACTGGCAGCGACGTCACCCCCATCGGCTGGCTCTTCTCCCCCCTTCTTCTGAGACACACATGGGGAGAGAGAGAGAGTTTTCAGTTGCATTCATTTGGTATAGCCCTGTGAGCCATTCAGCTCTTGAATCAGGTGCAACAGCAACAAACAAAAACATGAACAAGAAACATCTTAAAGTGACTACGCTCAAACAGAAAAATCCAGGAAAAAACAGCAAAGTCTTCCAGAAAAAGCACCGTATATCAATGATGTGTGCAAAAATCCCAGTGGGATGCAAGTCAAACAATAACAACCATAAGACAATTTAGATTAAAGTTATCAGTCAAACTCTGTACTACAACAAACAAATATGGCTAGAGAGAGGAGAGAGAGAAAGGAGAGAGGACAGAGTGAGAGAAGAGAGAGCAGGGAGAGGTCAAAGAGACGGGCAGTAGTGGGCAGTGTACATTCTGGCAAAAATCGCCCGATGATGCTGGATGTAATTACCGGCGAAACATCACGATACTCAAATCGTAATTGTTGTCGTAAGTTTACTCTCCAACACACAACCGGTTCGTGCTGAACTAGTCACTAATTGGCACGTTTTGTTTACGTAAAAAACCCTTTCTGATTGGCTGCGTCGAGTGGAGGGTTCACGACACATTTATACTTACGCAATCTAACCAAAAAAAAACCTCTATTATGAATCATATTGCTCGCAAAAGCCTGCTACATGTTAAACTGTGGGAAGTGTGTTTGTGTCATTGGTATCACTGCGCTCATTCACCCAGGAAATAATCAGTGAGCCCCATGGCTATCTCAGGAGGGTGCTGCAGTAATGGTGGGCAGTGACGACTAACACGGTTAATTCGTGAGCTAAAATCGCTGTGCTGCCTGTGTGAATGGCCCAAAAGAACGACATCCCACCTCATCTCTGGTGGTGGCCACTCAGTAAGGCTGTGGTGGTGGCTGTAAGCAATGCCTATTGGAGGGAAGGCTAGAATCAATCGGCGGCTGATGGAGGAAGTGTTCCGTCTAGCTGAGAGAAAGCAACAGGCCCACTCCCGCCATTGGCAATATCCCATGTTGGAGAATGAGGCGGCTTACCGCACCCTTCGCTCGGAGGTTCAAAGAGCCGTGCGCCACTGTAAGGATGAGTGGTGGTCGCAGGTTGCCGAGGATATGGAATCACAAACCACTGCTTAATTTAATTTAAAAAAAAAGTAACTTGCACAGTACCACACCGATCACCCAGAAGGGGAAAAAAGGTGATCTGATCTCTGACCCCCCATGAACAGGTTTGCGGAGCATTTCAGTAAGGTCTTGGGGGCAGGGAAATCCTTCAGCTCAAATAACATCAGGGATCAGGTGGGTTTGACCCTGCTGGGGCCGCTGTGATTCAAATAATGGAGGAAATAGCCACCTACTGTGAAATACTATGGCTGAAGTGTCATCTGTTGAGGAAGGACGGGGGAGCAATCCAGAGTCTGAGATCAGGAAGAGCGTCGGTCAGAGATGACCTTCAAAGAGAACTGCTGAGGGAGTGTGGTGATTGCATACAGGCTACTCTATGTGACATCACAACCATTTGCATCACGGGATGGATTCTCCAGCGTTGGAAGGATGCCCTGGTGGTGCCCCTTATGCATGTGTAATGAGACAGCGCCACCTAGGGGGTGACAAGGGGTATCTGCATGGCCACCGCTGGGTAATCGGAACCCAATCCGAAGCGGGGACTCCATCTTGGCAAAAGGTAATGGGCGGAGCTAGAGAACATGTACGGGAACTTTTGCATCTTGGAGACGGCATTCCTTTGCAAAGGTCTCACGGAACACCTTCTCTGTTTTATCCCATGCTATGATATGGGCAACATCGTTGTTCACAATGACGGGGATGTCAGAGTTTGCAGCTCTTCTAAAAGGGAGTTGACAAACCTCTACCATTTCTTACTGGTTAAGGTTCGATCAGTAAGCTCCTCCTTGAATTTGATGTTGTAGTTCCTTCTAGCCTGCTTCTCAGCCTGGTTGTACAAGTGTCTTGCTTTGGCAAATTTCAGCTTGATGATGGCAGTATTGTTTTTCTTGAGCTAGCGGAAGAGGTGTCGCTTCTCCCTTGGAGCTCTCCTGCACTTCTCATCAACCCATGCCTTATCTCATAGCTTTTTGGTGAGAATGTTGCTGTGGATGTATAGCTCCATAACATTACAGGAAATTCAACAATCTGTTGGAGACCCAAGCAACTTGCAAGCTGTAGAGCTTGGCAGCCAGCTGAGTCTGTTGTTCAGCTACCTAGCCAGTCTTCATGATGGACATTGAAGTCTCCCACCAGCATGATGGAATGTGCATCAAACTCTGTAATTTTTTTATGGGGTTTCAGTGTCCAGGTAGTTAAGGATGCCATTGTTAGCACACACAGCTCCTTTGAGTAGCTTCCAGGAACTTAAAGTGACTGTGAGCCACATAGGTTCCATGTCTGTTGGATCTCTTTGGGATGGATGGCAATTCCTTGTAGGCAGTACACTGCAATACCCCTCCGGATAAGGCAGTTTAATCTCTTCGGCAGCAAATGGTGTAACCTGGGTACTGCAACGCAGTCCGCTCCGTCTCAAACAGCTGGGTGTCTAGGAATGTTTCTACCACAATGACAACTGTAGGTTCTCGTTCTCCTTGCACACGTTGGCAAGTTCTCCGAGGCCACAGATGTCGACCTCAACGATTTGCAGTTCCTTGTCTTATAGTCAGTGGGCAGGCGCAATTCGTTTCCGTTTTGTTCAGTCCTTTTTAGGCTTGGACTTTGTTTTTTGTAGAAATTAAGAGGAGGGTTCAACGTTTGCTGGCCCTTGATCCCAGGCATACTTAAGCAGTGCGGTGGAAGTATACGCTTTACATGACCTGATCTAAAAGCATCCGAAGACTCATAACATATTGTACTCAGGGATCAGCCACTCGGTCAAGGGTGGGGTGACCAGCATTCTGTTATCCCCCAACTACGTACAGTTGGCTAGGTACGGTGCGAAATAAGTTCAAACGGGTATGGCATGGGCTAGAGAAGAGATGGGTTGATGTGGTACAGAAAGATGAGGAGCTGAGTGGACTTGCCAATGACTGATAGCAGCGGTGTCAAAACTGGCCTATGTGGAGGAGGCTCGTCACAGATACTACTTGCCAGGTGGAGGCAGTCACCCTCCAACAATGGAATGCAAAGAAGCCACACTCACAACAATGAGCAGAGCGCCTGGCAAATAAACCCCAGCAAGTTGGCACAGGTGGGGGCACAGGTGGTGCACGTCTGCCAGTCATCAGTCAACTCACGGCACCTGGGTCTGTTCTGTGATCCCCCTTCCAGCAAAGAGCCTTCCACAAAGTATGCTCTTCTATTGCTAATACCATGATTAACTCTGTGCCCGTGAAAACTCACTCTGATTTCTCCTCCTCCCCGCATGTTAAGGCCTCTGTCGACCACTTTCAACCTATCCACACTGTTCGATCACAACACCGCACAATCACAACGCTTTCCTGTTTCATCTCTCGCACACTTCAAGATGAGTCGCATTGTCATCTCTTACACCCCCCCCCCCCCCCACAACTTCGTATAACCTGGAAGCTCAATTTAAGAAACGCATCGACTCCGATAAAGTCGCCTCGCTTTTTACGTGCATTTATATGACGTGATTTTGAAAGGACACGTTAAGATTAATTTAAATGTCATTTTTGTTATGCGCGCACTGTTATTGAAATAACGCAGTCCAGAGCATTGGGCCATGGTGCACGGAGCGCGCTGCAAGCTCATCGTTAGTCGTGCAGCATAGTTTCAATCGCGACAACCACCAGAAGAGCATCTCCTTCTCGCACGCCGTTCTGAAGATCTTATCCACGTGAAGTTTGTCTTGTGCACACATTTGAAAGCGCCATCATCTCCACCATCGTCATCCCCGCCACTCTCCACTCCCTCCACCACCAGCCCCAACACTGCCACTCAAGCAACTCACTTTGTTTTACTTTATTATTTTTGTATTTTCTTTCTTTAAATAGGCTGTTACTATCTTTAACACATGTATGGTAGTATTGCACATATAATATGTATTGTAACCTGTGAAATATGTAGATATAAGAATGAGGTTCGATAGCGTGCTCTCCCGAACACTAACCCATTTCCTTTATTTCGTATGGGAAATGTCCATTACATTTTACGAGATTTCAAGTTACGCACCATTTTCAAGAACACGACCCCTGCGCAAAAAGAGAGGTAGCCGCAGTGCTATTTTGCTGTGGGCGGGTTGACTTTCTCGGCCACTGGGCCTGTGGTCAAAACACCTCGAGCCCAGAAACAAAAGCAAGTTTGGAAGTAACGGCTGCCGTTTCTCTGCAGGGAGCAGCGGCACATCATCAATTAGCGGGCAAAGTGCCTCACAAACCCCTGTCACCTGAGTTCGATTCTCGTTCATGGCCAACACCAGCAATGAAATATTTAAACCGGCCCTGAATCCTGCCCTAGATCGACTGCCTTAAAAGAGTAGCTGGTGTCGTGCAATCATCAGTGGAGACTGAGGTCGCCGGGCGTGTTGTTGATGACACTCCCCCCACCCCTCACAGGCACTCCGCGCAAACAGCACTTAGTCAGTGTGGCCTGCGTGGGGGGATTCTTTGTTTTTTGCCTCACCTTGGCTACATCGCCACAAGCTTGAAGCAGCACGGCCATCAGACGACTCGAAACCGCCACCCGGCACTCTTCACCTCCTCCACCTCCTCCTCCGTGCTGCTCCGCTTCCTCGTCTGTGCCACCTCCTCTTCGTGCCACACCAGCTTCCTCTTCATCGTCTCCATTGCCTCCTGGCGGCTTCATCTCATCATCCTGGGTGCCTCCACCTCCTCCTCCACCTCGTCGCTGCTCAACCTCCGGGGTGTTGACCTCATCAGTACGGTTTCTATCTACTGCTCCCCCTTGCTCATCAATTTCCCTCAACTCATCTCTCATGTCTTCTCTTTCATCACCACCACCTCGTTGAGCCACCTCCTCATTCTCCTTCACCCGGTCTCCATACCCAGTCTGCCGCACCCGCTCACCCTGGTCCCTACATCCCTCACTTCTTTGCTGTTCCTCCTCCAACTCGTCAGCCCGGCCTATGCCCACAACACTGGCTGGCAGCTCCACCTCCTCGTCCTGAATTCCCTTATCCTCACCTCCACCTTGCTGATCAAACTCATTGGCCACAGAGCGAATCTCCGTAATGACAATAGCCGACTCCTCCACTTCATTCGCCTCATCTTCCTCGACCCCCTCCATCGCCCCCAAACTCTGCTCCTTCATGGTCTTCTCCATCACCTCCTCTGCACCCGTCACCTCCTCCATCTTCCCCTCCTGTCTCTTCACCTCCTCCATCTCCACGTCCTTATCTGGTTCCTTCACCTCCTCCTCCGTCCCCTCCTCTTTCCCCCTCTCCACCTCCCCCTGATCCTCTGTTATCATCGCCTCCTCCGTGCAAAGAGACCGTGTCTCCACAATGATGATGCCCTGTCCACTAGCATCGCTCCCCTCTTCCTCCCCACTCTCTCCATCCCTCCGCCCACTGCTGCCTCTCTCCTGGACGTGGCCTCCTTCCCTCTCCCCGATGTCTTCCATCCAGTCGCCTGTGTCTCTTTCCCTGCCCCCGCTTCCTCCCTCCTTTTCCTTGCTCTCTCCCTTTTCCACACTCCCTCCCTCCTCCACGCAGCCTTCCTCCTTCTCCCCACTCTGTTCCTCCTTCTCCACAGTGCCTCCTTCAATCTCCCCACTGCCTCCCTCATCCGCCCCACTGCCTCCCTCTGTGGCCCTGTCTCTCTCACTCTCCCTACTGCTGGCTCCCTCCTCCTCCCCCCCACCATCTCCCTCCCTCTCCGTTACATTGTCTCGTTGCCCCTCGCCAAGATTGCAGGTCACTGTGCCTGCCGCTGTGGCCGCTGCATCGTGCGGCGAGTCCGAGTTTGGCTGGCACAGCTGGTGGAGAGGCCGTGGCGAGTGGGCATCGCGAGGGTAGGTTTGGGAAGAGCAGGCGGAGGAATAGGCGCCAAAATTACCACCACCACCTCCATCAACGCCGTCACTGGCCCTGTTCTTAACAGCAGTGCGATCAGCACCACCATCGATACTCCCGCTGTTACCACATCCATCCGCACCGTAAGCAACACCAGCAACAGCAGCGGCAGCCCCATCAGTGTCACCAGCACTACAAGTATCTGCCCCTTTAGCGGTGCCACAGTCATTACGAGTGCCACCGCCATTCCCTAATTCTGGTGCTGTGGGAGGTCACAGGGCTCTGCTCTTGGCTCCTCGGGCTCTGCTCTCCGGGCTCCGGGCTCTGTTCTCCGCGCCTGGGGCTCGGCTCTCCACGCTGCGGGCTCTGCTCTACGCGCTCCGGGCTCAGCTCTCCGAGGCTCGCGCTCTGCTCTCCACGCTTGGGGCTCTGCTCTCCACGCTTGGGGCTCTGTTCTCCACACTTGGGGCTCTGTGCTCCACGCTTGGGGCTCTGTGCTCCATGCTTGGGGCTCTGTGCTCCACGCTTGGGGCTCTGTTCTCCCCACTTGGGGCTCTGTTCTCCACACTTTGGGCTCTGTTCTCCAAGCTTGGCGCTCTGTTCTCCACACTTGGGGCTCTGTTCTCCGGGCTTGGGGCTCTGTTCTCTACACTTGGGGCTCTGTTCTCCACACTTGGGGCTCTGTTCTCCACGCTTGGAGCTCTGTTCTCCATGCTTGAGGCTCTGTTCTCCGGGCTTGGGGCTCTGTTCTCTACACTTGGGGCTCTGTTCTCTACACTTGGGGCTCTGTTCTCCATGCTTGAGGCTCTGTTCTCCGGGCTTGGGGCTCTGTTCTCCGGGCTTGGGGCTCTGCTCTCCACGCTTTGAGCTCTGTTCTCCACGCTTGGGGCTCTGTTCTCCAAGCTTGGGGCTCTGTGCTCCACGCTTGGGGCTCTGTTCTCCACGCTTGGGGCTCTGTTCTCCACACTTGGGGCTCTGTTCTCCGGGCTTGGGGCTCTGTTCTCCACACTTGGGGCTCTGTTCTCCACGCTTGGGGCTCTGTTCTCCACGCTTGGGGCTCTGTTCTCCACGCTTGGGGCTCTGTTCTCCACGCTTGGGGCTCTGTTCTCCATGCTTGGGGCTCTGTTCTCCACACTTGGGGCTCTGTTCTCCACGCTTGGGGCTCTGTTCTCCACGCTTGGGGCTCTGTGCTCCACACTTGGGGCTCTGTTCTCCAAGCTTGGAGCTCTGTTCTCCAAGCTTGGGGCTCTGTTCTCCACACTTGGGGCTCTGTTCTCCAAGCTTGGGGCTCTGTTCTCCACACTTGGGGCTCTGTGCTCCACGCTTGGGGCTCTGTTCTCCATGCTTGGGGCTCTGTTCTCCACACTTGGGGCTCTGTTCTCCAAGCTTGGGGCTCTGTTCTCCACACTTGGGGCTCTGTTCTCCAAGCTTGGGGCTCTGTTCTCCATGCTTGGGGCTCTGTTCTCCACGCTTGGGGCTCTGTTCTCCACGCTTGGGGCTCTGTTCTCCAAGCTTGGGGCTCTGTTCTCCACACTTGGGGTTCTGTTCTCCAAGCTTGGGGCTCTGTTCTCCATGCTTGGGGCTCTGTTCTCCACGCTTGGGGCTCTGTTCTCCACGCTTGGGGCTCTGTTCTCCACGCTTGGGGCTCTGTTCTCCACGCTTGGGGCTCTGTTCTCCAAGCTTGGGGCTCTGTTCTCCAAGCTTGGGGCTCTGTTCTCCAAGCTTGGGGCTCTGTTCTCCACGCTTGGGGCTCTGTTCTCCACGCTTGGGGCTCTGTTCTCCACGCTTGGGGCTCTGTTCTCCACGCCTGGGGCTCTGTTCTCCACGCTTGGGGCTCTGTTCTCCAAGCTTGGGGCTCTGTTCTCCAAGCTTAGGGCTCTGCTCTCCACACTTGGGGCTCTGCTCCCCGTGGATCGGGCTCTGCTCTCCACACCCTGGGCTTTGCTCTCCATGGCTTGGGCTCGGCTCGTGATGGTTGGGGTTTGGTTCGAACGTCGGCGACTCCATGCCCGGGAAGCAGACAACAGCGAGAAACCAGTGATGCCTGAGGGAGACACAGCGGCATCATCACACATGGAGTCACGACAGACGGTGTCAAGAAATGAGGTTCAGTGGCTTGGTAGAAAGCAGTCGCTAGTTGATGTCACCATCTTCTGGATGATAGTTGAACTCAGCTGTAGCAAATGTCCCAGAGGTGGTATCGTGGAAGGAGGAGCCGGGCCTGTCTTGCGGCCATGAGCTCTCGAGTAGAGGTCGTGTGAACGAGGGACGGCCAAGCGGCCTCGTAGCGTCGCTCGAAACGCAGCTCGAGCTCTGTAGGGGCGGCCGCCCGTCAGCCGACGCTCGGGAGCTACGCAGATTTGATTTATTCAAATTGGGAGGAGTCTCATCATTAGACATCCTTTGCAAGTACCAAAACATTCCTTGTACAAAAGTTTCCGTTTTGTTGCCAGAAAAAAGGGTAAAAACCATATTATTATATTTTGGTACTGGCAAAGGAGGTCTAATGATGTAGATGCTTACCCCGAGTCCTCATTACTTTGATAGTGCATTGTCTTTGAGCTGTACGCCTTTTGGCATCCTCTGGTCTAGCACCAATGGAGACGAGGCTCAGAGGCTCAAGAGAAAGCCGTCTCTGGTATGGACCAATCAGTTTCAAGGACAATGCATATATTATCAGTGTCAATCTTAATTTTGGAGCTTTCGTGACTGCAGGAATTATTCTTTGGTTCTTTCGGTAAAGTCACGTATAAAGATAAAATAATAAATTAAATAATAGCAGGGGTTAGAGACATTTTTTCTCTAACCCCTCCCTCTCTCTGTCTATTTAAGGCCACCCCACAGAGACGATCTCCCTCTCTGTACCTGTGTTACTCTCTCTATGTATCTTGGTGATATCTGTCTGCTTATATGTCTGTCTATAGTTTTCTGGTTAGATTTTTTGTTGCTATTTCATTTATACCTGATGATGATTGCTTGTGTTGCAATCGAAACGTCGTATGCTATTATTTAATTTATTATTTTATCTTTATACGTGACTTTACCGAAAGAACCAAAGTAGAATTATCAGAGTGTGTTTTTTGCATTTTGACCACAAGCATTGTGGTTAATGCACACGTGATTCCTTGTAAAAGGTTTCAGTTTTGTTGCCAGAAAAAAGGGGGAAAAACCCATTTATTATTATTGGGAGGAGTCTCATTGCCTCCGGCACGCGCTTGCGAGTTGGCTCTCGGCCGATTATGCTAGCACGACACGAGAAAAGGGGGTGACAGGAGGAACACGAGGGCGCTGTTGCACTGCGTACAGGTTCACTCCTTCCTACAGGAGGCCCTATCGAGACTCTTATCCATTTTATTTACTCTTCTTATCCTCCTGCATCTGCTTCGGCTGCAGTGAGGCTCCCATGTAACGGGCAAGGCAGACGGGAACTGCTATTGTCAGGGTCGACTGTAGGTCCAACGGACGGCGGTTTCTCACACACACGGCTCCATGACGCTAGACTTTGTGCAATGACCGTGCGACGGTGCAACGCCAGTGATGGTAATATGCCGATGATGGTGTGACGCTGGTGGAGGAGTGACGATGGTGGTGGAGTGATACTGGTCGAGTGACGCTGGTGGTGGTGGAGTGATACTGGTGTGATGCTTTTGGAGGAGTGATGCGGTGAGAGCCTCACTCCTCATTGATGGGGATGAAGATGAAGTTTTTCTTGAAAAGGTCGACTCTCCTCGTCCACGTCCTCACGCGTGCATGCCGCCGCTGGGCCAGGCTGCATGTTACACACACACACAGTTACACACACACACACACAGTTATACAACAACCGCCATTCGCCACTAAGTAGCGGTGACGTCACCACGACGCTTGTGCTAGGCTATGTGCACCTTGAGGCCACGTGAAGTGTCAAACGCCCGCTGGCAGAAGGTCACGGGGCAGACCCAGGTGCCACGCGTCGACTCACTGAGATGACTGAGATGACGGGCTGATGCACCACCCGTGCCCCCTACTGTGTCAACTTGCTGTGCTTTAGCCACCCGGCGCTCTGTTCATTGTTGTGAGCGTTGCTCCTCCGCCCTCCGTTGTTGTTGGAGGGCGACTGCCTCCAACTGCCCAGTAGCGTCGTTCACGAGCCTCCTCCACAGAGGCCGATCTTGACACCGCTGGTACCAGTCATCGGCAAGTCCATTCAGCTCCACATCCTCCCATACCTCATCAGTCCATCTCATCTTCAGCCCATGTCATGCCCGTTTAGCCCCCTCTATGCAGCCAAACGGAAGCTGCTTGGGAATACAGTGGCGGGACATGTGGGCTACATGACCCAGCCAATGCAGCCTTGCCTGCCGGAGGAGCTCACTGATGGGAATGTGTCCAGATCTTTCAAGGATATGTGAGCTCCTCACGCAATCCAGCCTGGTTAAACCCAGGATGGATAGTAGGCAGGCCAGCCTGAATGTTTCACCCGGCGCAATGTTCCATTAGAGGGGTCCACGTTTCACAAGCAAAGAGAAGGGACTGTGGCCGTGAGAGGACCCGAAGCTTTGTGAGGAGTGACAGACCAGGTAGCTTCCACACAGCATTACACAGCCAATGAAAAGATAATGCCACCCGACTGATTTGGAGTGAGACCTCTGCTGTCAAACCAGAGCTGGTCACAAGCACACTGCCCAGGTATGGGAAACTTTCCACTCTCTCCATAACTACTCCATCACTAATGGGGAGCTAAGGGGGTGGAGTGTTTTGGTGGCACAAACTACCCAGGCAGGTGCTTAGGTTTGATGGGGCTGATGGTAAGACCCCACCTCTTAGTGGCACACTCCAGGTTCAACAACAGCGCATCCAACTCCACCTCTGAGTGAGAAGCAATCACCATATCATCAGCATACATAACATGGTTGACCAATAGGGAGACATCCCTCGACCGCACCCGGGCATTAATCAGCCTCCCACTGTATCTGTACCAAATGGAAATTCCTCCGATACAGCCATCGAAGGCTTCTTGAACTACGTGGTCAAAGATGATCTTAAATAATGTGGGAGCCAGAGGACATCCCTGTCGCACCCCAAGGTGAACAGGGAATGGCTCCGACTCCCAGCCACGTAGTTTTACCCGGGGCTACTCACCATCATGAAGGTCCCTAATGATCGTCAGTAGTGGGTCAGCGACTCCGAAAGCACGAAGAACAACCCAGAGCCCAGTCCTACTGATTGTATTATAGGCCTTGACCAGGTCAATAAAGCAGAGATGTAGGTCTTGTTGGAATTGCCTACACCTCTGCTGTAGCAGACAGAGAGAATGTGGCATCCGTGCAGGACCACCCTGGTCTGAAACCACATTGGGGCTCCGCAAGCCTCTCCTCAGTGTACCTGGCAACGCCATGTTGAATAATCCTTGCCAGGACCTTTCCCGGCACACTGGGAAGGGAGATGCTCATATAGTTGTTACAATCTTTAAGCACTTCCTCTACAGATGGCACCACAGCCATCCATTCAAAAGGGGTGGCTACTTCTGCCAATATTTGAGGCATGGCAGCCCTAAAAGGGTCGTCCCCAACATGCCCCATGATGTTGTCTGGGCTGAGGGAATTCCCCTCCTCAAGACCTCACAAAAATGCTCTGCAAATCTGCAGACCTGTTCCTGGGAGTCAGAGATCAGATTACCATTCTTTTTCCCTTAAGGATGGTGATAGGTGAGGTGCTGCAAGTAACTTTTTTATGGAATTAAATAGTGATTTGTCAGAGGGGTACTGAAGCAGATTCTATCTCCTCAGCAACCCGCCCCCACCACTAATCCTTGCAGCGCCGCACAGCGCTTCGAATCTCCGAGCAAAGGTTGCGGTAAGCCTCCTCATTCTACAATATTGGATATTGTAGATGACGGGAGTGGGTCTGTCGTTTTCTCTCAACCAAACGGAACACCTCCTCCTTCAGCCAGGGTCTTTGGGAGGTCTGGACCGCATACCGAATGTTGTGGCAAGTTCTGTTAGCGAGCACCTATGAAGGCCGGCACGGTACACGAGGGGGTGGGTGGCCAGCACCACGCCCGGCCGCCTTTGTCTCCCCAGTGGCAATGTTTTTACACACCGCACCAGGTAACCATTTGGAGCTGAGTCGACCTACGGGAGGCCCAGAACCGCTTCAAATAATCGTCACTGGTGTTTGCGGGACTCGAACTCGGGTAGCCGAGTTCGTAGGGCAGCACACGAACCGCTACGCTACCGGTCCTTCTAGCAGTGTAGTGTGTAGTGTATGGTGTGTAGTGTATAGCAGTGTAGTGTATAGTGTGTAGTAGTGTGGTGTGTAGTATATGCTGTATTAACAGTGTCTAGTAGTGTGTGGTACAGTGTAGTGTAAAGAAAATGCTATAGTAGTGTGTGTAGTTTTTATGTTATGTTGTATGCTATGTAAGTCTGTGCAGCGTTCGGTGGAGTGGTGAGTGCAGGAAGAGTGTGCAGGGTGGAGGTGCAGGGTGGGGGTGCAGGGTGGGGGTGCAGGGTGGGGGTGCAGGGTGGGGGTGCAGGGTGGGGATGCAGGGTGGGGGTGCAGGGTGGGGGTGCAGGGTTGGGGTGCAGGGTGGGGGGTGCAGGGTGGGGGTGCAGGGTGGGGGTGCAGGGTGCAGGGTGGGGGTGCAGGGTTGGGGTGCAGGGTGGAGGTGCAGGGTGGGGGTGCAGGGTGGGGGTGCAGGGTGGGGGTGTGCAGGAGAGGTATGCAGGGTGGGGGTGCAGGGTGCAGGGTGCAGGGTGGGGGTGCAGGGTTGGGGTGCAGGGTGGGGGTGCAGGGTGGAGGTGCAGGGTGGGGGTGCAGGGTGGGGGTGCAGGGTGGGGGTGTGCAGGAGAGGTATGCAGGGTGCAGGGTGGGAGTGCAGCAGGGTGTGCAGCGTACGTGAGGCTGGCCATGTGCTCTGTGAGCACGCGCTCCGTCTGCAGCAGGCGCTTGTAGAAGAAGGTGCTGAATACGTGGATCCCGTCCGAGTCCTCACGGCTCATGCGCTCACTACTCACGAGGAACCTGGGGGACACGCATGGGGGGGGAGACAGACAGGGGGTAGAGAGACACGGGGGAGACAGACAGACAGAGGGAGGCAGACACGGAGAGATACGGGGAAACACGGGGAGGAACGCACAGGGAGACACGCAGGGGGAGAGACACGCAGGGGGAGAGACACGCACGGGGAGAGATTATTATCCGCAGTCGTCCTCCCCGTCATGAGTGCGGATAATCGAGAGTCTGCTGCATTATAATAAATACAGGGACTCCTCTACTTATAAATGAGTTAGGTTTCAGAGGTTCGTAAGTTCAACTTTACTCCTGTCGATTGCGAACATGTTGGACGGCATGTATACGGGGAATGGCTTTAAAAGTTGTATAATCTTCTGTAGATGCGATTGGTTCTTCATGTTCTGCAGATGAAGATGCCACTGGTTCTTCACATTCTGCAGATGAAGATGCCACAGGTTCTTCACGTTCTGCAGATGAAGTTGCCACTACTGCCATCTATTGCGCGGCGCTTGAACTTACAACTCTCGTTCTGAACAGCTGCAACTGGATATACGGGACAGGTTTGTTCATTATCTCTTAAAATTCATAAGTCGGACGTTCGTGAGTAGAGAAGTTCCTGTACTTCAATTCCACTCCCGCCCGTCCGCTCTTTGGAACCGTCATAGGAATGTAGAGTTTCCAGGGCGCATCTCACTTGAGGTAGAAGTCGATGATGATGTCATTAAGGAACTCTCCGGGCTCCAGGCAGAGGAGGTCCTCCGTGGTAACACTAAGGCCACCCTTGGTGGGCGGCGGGGGATAGATGATGAGCCTGGCCACAACAACACAATAACAGAACACAAAAATAACACAAAAACACAGCGTCATAACACAACACATTAACACATCAAAACACGTCACTACAACACAGCATGTCACCACAAGATCACAAGTTGGACGGTTCGTAAGTCGGACGGTTCGCAAGATGGACGATTCGTAAGTCGGACGATTCCTAAGTTGAACCGTTCATAAGTCGGAAAGGTTCATAAGTCGGAATACGACAATTAACTGAAGGGGCATTCCAAGACTTACGAATGGGTTCCGTGACTAAGTGGCGGTAACGTTACCCCGGCGCTTGTGCCAGGCTATGTGCACATGAATGCCACGTCAAGTGTCGAACACCCGCTGGCAGGTCATGGGACAGACCCAGGTGCCATGGGTGGACCGATTTGACTGGCCAATGCAACACCTGTGCCACCTACTGTGCCAACTTGCTGTGTTTTAGCCACCCGGCGCTCGGCTCGTTGTTGTGAGCGTCGCTCCTCCGCCCTCTGTTGTTGTTGGAGGGCAACTGCCTCCAACTGCCCAGGAGCGTCCTTCACGAGCCTCCTCCACAGAGGCTAATCTTGACATCGCGGGTACCAGTCATCGGCAAGTCCACTCAGCTCCACATCCTCTTGTACCACATCACTCCATCTCTTCTCTAGCCCGTCACCGAGGTTCGTAGCACAGCGTAGCACAACTAACACCACCACAAAAACCTCCACCCTGCAACCTCCCGGCCCCCCCGTCACCTCTGCACAGGGATGTTGCTGCTGCTGCGCTGGCTGTCGGCAGGCACTGCGAAGGGCGGCGCTGGCGACGACGACGAGGCCGCCGGCATCAACTCGCTGGCGTAGTGCCCACCCTGGCGCAGCTGCAGAACGGAGAAGTCGGCCGGCCACGGAACTCCCTGGGCACCACCACCACCACAACGCTACGATACCACGACGACTACCACCACCACAATGCTAGGACACCACCACTACTACACTGCACCACCAGCACAATGCTACGACGACACCACCAACAACAACCTGGGTGGGTAAAATTCAAAGCAGGTAACTAAAGTAAAAAAGAAGCTAAACATGATAAGCAACGTGTGGTGATGTTGATGGTGGTGCGTGGAGCTGGGGGTAACAAACTGGTAATATGGATATGTTTAACAAGATAAATCTAAACTGGCTGTCTATTAGTAAATTGCACGGTAACTAAAGTTTAACTTGGTTAATTACATCTGTCCAATGATTGCTCAATCTGAACAAAATCCGTGATCTGATCCCATCCGTAAAGGACGCCATTTCTGAATTACAGTACCCCGGTGTTTACAGATTAAGTTGTACCTGTGGTGACTGCTATATCGGATCTGGGAAACGAAACGACACATTGCTGACCGCATTCGCGAGCACAAGTCGGATTTGAAACATGGCAAGACGAATTCGTCGGCCATGGCTGACCACTGTTATAATACTGCTGGCTCGCATGACATTGTGTTCTCAGATACCAAGGTACTTTGCAAACCTCCTGGATACTACCAAAGATTTTTCCATGAGGCCATCCAGATATACAAACACAGACATAACTTCAACCGAGATGATGGATTCAGACTGAGCAATCATTGGAAAGATGTAATTAACCAAGTTCAACTTTAGTTACCGTGCAGTTTACTGATAGACAGCCAGTTTAGATTTATCTTCTTAAACATATCCATATAACCAGTCTGTTACCCCCAGCTCCACGCACCACCATCAACATCACCACACGTTGCTTATCATGTTTAGCTTCTTTTTTACTTTAGTTACCTGCTTTGAATTTTAACCACCCAGCAGCATAACAAAAGGCGGCTTAATCCTAGCTTGCTTATCTACTTCTGCCATCTACATTACAAAGGCTCAGTTCCAGCAGCAGTACTGACCATCTCACAACTCCTCCTCTCCCACGACCCATCCTGGCTCCTCCCCCTCAACCAGTATATAATAAGGTCGTGCCTCTTGGGACTTCTCTTCACTTGATACAGCAATTTTGCTGTGACGGTTTCACCTGAAGACGGAAGCTTGTGTTGCCTCCGAAACGTCGTGATTTAATTTATTTGTTTTCTTTTTTAACCTACGTGACTTTACCGAAAAAACCAAAGAGTACGAATCCTTGCAGTCACGAAAGCTTCAAATCTAGAACAAGTGCAACCACCACCACCACGAACCTTCTATCAACAACAACAACCCTACTGAAGACAACCCTACTACACAACTCTGCTACATATTAACACACAGACACAAAGACAAACATCCCCCGTTTCGGCTTTACAGAGACTTTTGGGGCAAGTGCCGTTAGCGAGGAGCACCTATGAAGGCCGGCACTGTGGCACGAGGGAGTAGGTGGCCAACACCATGCCAGGCCACCTTTGTCTCCCCAGCGGCAATGTTTACTACACACTGCACACCAGGCACCCATTTGTAGCACAGCGTAGCGCGAACCGCTGCACCACTGCTCCCCTCCTCCGATAACTAAAGAAAAAGATCTCCCGTATAGGCTTATAAGACTATTGGGGAAAGTGCCGTTAATGAACAGCGCCTACGAAGGCCGGCGCTGTGGCATACGAGGGGGTGGGTAGCCAGCACCGCGCCCGGAGGCGTTTTTATCCTCAATGGTGATATTTACACACCGCACCAGGTACTAATTTGAGGCTGAGTGGACCTAGGGGGGGCCCAGAACCGGTTCAGATGATCACTATCACTGGTGTTGGCCGTGAGCAGGAATTGAACTCGGGTCGCCGGGTTCATATCACGGCGTAGCGCTAACCACTGCACCACCGCTCCCCATTGTGTTACACATAACAGGGAGGGGGACACACACACACGGAGACACTGGGAGAGAGACATGGGGACACGGGGACACAGGGGAGACACTGAGACACAGGGGAGACACACGGGGGAGACTCTTACCACCCCGTGCTGGAATCCATGTGGTGGGCGCCCCCCACCAGGTCCGTAGGGAGGCTCCGCAAACCCGGCCGCGACGTACGCAGCCACGGCATTCTGATGATGCTGATGGTGCTGATGGTGCTGATGGTGCTGATGGTGCTGGTGATGATGGTGATGATGGTGCTGCTGGTGGTGTTGATGGGCGGGGGTGAGCGCCAAGGCACCATGTGCCGAGGGGGGGTGCGGCGCCAGCGGTGAGTGGGGGGCCAGGCCCCCCGGCATGCGCGACGACGACGAGAAGTGGTGATGGGGGGGCGGGGGGCCACCGTTCCGGCGCGCCACCTCCAGCAGCAGCTCCTGCAGCAGGCGCAGCGACGCCGGGGGCAGCGGCGCCTCCACCACCAGTGTCACGACGCGCTCGGGAGGCTCTGACAGACGGGGAACCGGGGTGGGATGGACAGGGAGTTGCGTCTCCCCCGCGTCTCCCCATTGACCCCGTGTCTCCCCCGCGTCTCCCCCGCGACTCCCCCGCGACTCCCCCGCGACTCCCCATTGACCCCGTGTCTCCCCCGCGTCTCCCCCGCGTCTCCCCCGCGACTCCCCATTGACCACCGTGTCTCCTCCGCGTCTCCCCCGCGTCTCCCCCGCGTCTCCCCCGCGTCTCCCCATTGACCCCGTGTCTCCCCCGCGTCTCCCCCGCGTCTCCCCGCGTCTCCCCCGCGACTCCCCATTGACCCCGTGTCTCCCCCGCGTCTCCCCCGCGTCTCCCCCGCGACTCCCCATTGACCCCGTGTCTCCCCCGCGTCTCCCCCGCGACTCCCCATTGACCCCGTGTCTCCCCCGCGTCTCCCCCGCAACTCCCCCGCGACTCCCCCGCAACTCCCCATTGACCCCGTGTCTCCCCCGTGTCTCCCCATTGACCCCGTGTCTCCCTCGTGTCTCCCCCGTGTCTCCCCCGTGTCTCCCCATTGACCCCGTGTCTCCCCCGTGTCCTCCCCCATGTCTCCGTGTGTCCCCGCGTGTCCCCGAGTATCCCGGTGTGTCTCCGCATGCCACACGGCATACCAGTCGCCTCCACGCTGTCCAGGCCAGCCCAGCTGAGGAGCTGTGAGTGGACGTTGAGCGCCAGGCTCGGCTCCAGGGCGAGCAGCAGGCTGGGGCCCTGCGGCTCTGCCGTGTTCACAGAGCATGAACAGAGGGAGCGCGCGGGCAGCGAGAGCACGCGGGGGGCACGCCCCTCACCCACTGCACACATTGACACATAGCCAGTTGTACACAGAGAGACAACACACACAGACAGATGAACACAATCACAGATAAACAAATATAAACACAGACAGATGTACAGAGATATGTACAGAGACAAACACACACACAGACAAGCACACAGACACACACACAGACAAACACACAGACAAACACACAGGCAGACAAATATTCCTCGTGTAGCCTTAACAGACTGTTGGGGCAAGTGCTTCTAGCTCGTAGCACCACAACAACCATCACTGCCACCATCATCATCACCATGAGCACCACCAACACCACCACCACTACAGCCATAAAACACAAAGATCTCCCGTGTTGGGGCAAGCGCTGTTAGCTAGTAGCAGCACCTATAAAGGTCGGCACGGCACACGAGGGGGTGAGTGGCCAGCACCATGCCCCCAGCTGTCTTTGTCTCCCTAGTGGCGATGTTTGCTGCACACAGCACCAGATACTCATTTGAGGCTGAGTCGACCTAGGGGATACCCAGAACCGGTTTAGATAATCGTCGCTGGTGTTGGCCGTGAGCGGGAATCTAACCTGTGCAGTATGATAACTACTGCACCACCACTGCCCACATCTGTGGTTAAGTAGGTAGGTGAGTGAGTGAGCAGGTGTGCGTGTGAGTGAGTGTGTGAGCGAGAGTGTGAGCGAGAGTGTGAGCGAGTGTGTGAGCGTGTGTGTGAGCGAGTGTGTGAGCGAGAGTGATCACATGAGTGTGTATTTGAGTTTGTAAGAGTGAGTGTTGAGGAGTGGTAGTGTAGAGGTGAGCATTCTGCTCACCTCTACACTAGGTCGACTCAGCGGTGTGTAAACATCGCCACTTGGAAGACAAAGGTGGCCAGCCGTGGTGCTAGCCAACCCACCCATCGTGTGCCACAGTGCCGGCCTTCATAGGCACAGCTCACTAACAGCACTTTGTGGGCAAGTGAGTGAGCAAGCCGGTGAGTAAACAGCTGACTGAGAATTTGAGCGAGTGTATGAGTTAGCGAGTGTATGAGTGATTATATTAATTGGTGAGTGGGTGAGTGAGTAGTTCAGTGAGTGAGTGGATGAGTGAGTAGATCAGTGAGTAAGTGTATGAGTGAGTAAATCAGTGAGTAAGTGTATGAGTGAGTGTATGAGTGAGCAGGTGAGTGGGTGAGTGAGTCGATCGGTGAATGAGTGTATGAGTGAGTGGAATAAGTGAGTAGATCGGTGAGTGAGTGCACGAGTGAGCGGGTGAGAGAGCAGGTGAATGAACGGGGCAAACAGTAGATCGGTGAGTGTATAAGTGAGCAGGTCAGTGAGCGAGTAAACGGGTGAGTAGGTGATTAGGTTAGACCTGCTAATGGAATGTCCACTGAAATCACCGACACCTGCAAAAAGAGAAAAACAAACAAGTCAGCAAACAACAACCACAATTCGCCACTAAGGGTGTACGGTTGCGCAGTGTATGGTAGGGAAGGGTATAATATAGTTGTGTAGTGTATAATGTACTGTAGTGTATAGTGTAGTGTATAGTGTAGTGTATAGTATTAAAGTATATAGTCGTGTATAATTTATAGTAATGTATAGTAGTGTATAGTAGTATCTATATATATAAAATCGCAAATCTGTCTGTCTGTGTGTGTGTCTGTTTGTCTGTGTGTCGCCGGATCATACGCAGTTTCATTGGACGAAATGTGAGGGATTTGCGAGACGCGATTGGTCCGTTTGGTTTTCCACGGCGGTTGCCCCTGGCAACGGGTAGCGACGCATTCGCTGCTGGGTGGACGCCATTTTTAATTCCCGTTAAAAATATGCGCACGCATTAACACGCGACTCTGAGATAAATTCATCAAAGTTTCACGTCCTCTTCACTCCCCCCCCACCCCAATGTGTGCAATTACTATTATAGGGTCGGTAGATAATAAAATTATAGCGATTAGACAGTATTATTGTAGACTTGAAGCTTTCGTGACTGCAAGGAATCATATTCTTAGGTGTTTTCGGTAAAGTCACGTAGGTAAAACATCAAAATTAAAAAAAATTATTTTATTTAATTATTTTTATTAATTTTGATGTTTTACCTACGTGACTTTACCGAAAACACCTAAGAATAGTATTATTGTAGCGCGGGGGGGGGGGGTTAACGGCCCCAGTACCCAGCCTCAGCCGGATGGGCAATCTAGGCGAGGCCGGAGGCTCTGCACGGTACTAGGCCTCGACACCCCACCACACTATAGGCCGTACATATTACTGCACAGCGGCCGAGGAGATCGTGGCTGGGGGGGGGGGGGGGGGCAGGGGTAGCAGCCCATCTGTGTATATATGTAAGGTTATTAAGAAATATATTTTTCACCCGGGCAACGCTGGGTACTTCTGCAAGTACTAATATATAAACACCCAGCTCTGTCATTCTGTGATTAACGCAGCACGGATTGGTTGAAGTGCGATAAATGTTTTTTTACCCTTTTATCTGGCAACAAAACTGACCCCTTTTTTACAAAAAGTCATGTTTGCATAGACCACAATACCTGCAGTCGTAATGCAAACAAAAAACATAACTCTGATAATGTATGCACTGTCCTTAAAGTTGATTGGTCCACACCCGAGACAGCTTTCCTTCGAGCCTAGTCTCACATGGTGTTGGACCAGATGACACCATTACGACTGCAGGTATTGTGGTCTATGCAAACATGACTCCTTGTAAAAAAAGGTGTCAGTTTTGTTGCCAGATAAAAGGGTAAAAAAAACTATTATCATATTTTGTACTGGCAAATGAGGTTCCAATTATGTAAATGGTTGAAGTGCGTCACGTGATCGCGAGCAAGCAGCCGGGTGAGTGTGAGTGAGGAGACGGGTGAGTGAGAGTGAGGCCATAGTCGTGCTCCGTCCACTGCTGCCCTGAGGGACCCCCGTGCTCTCCACTGCTGGCTTTAGGGAGAGCCACGCTGTCTCCACTGCTGCCCTGAGGGACAGCCGCGCTCTCTCCACTGTTGCCCTGAGGCAGAGACGTGCTCTGTCCATTACATTAGTATTGGAGTTTTTTTGTGTGCTTAAATCCACTGCTCGATGAAGGCCCACCGCACGCTGTGCGAGTGGATCGTAAGGATTTACTTGACCAGTCTGTTGGGGGCCGCCGCACGCTGTGGTTGTTGGGGGGCGCCGCAGGCTATGGTTGTTCGGGGCCGCCGCAGTGGTGTATAGTTGTGTAGTATAGTGTAGTGTATAGTAGGATAGTGTATAGTATATAGTAGTAGTGTCGTATATAATGTATAAGTGTATATCAGGCATAGTAGTATATGAAGGAGATAACCGTGACAGGCTCCATTGGTCAGCGTAGTAGTGTTGTGTATAGTGTATTGTGTGTAGTGTATAGTGTATTGTGTGTAGTGTATAGTGTACTGTGTGTAGTGTATAGTGTATTGTGTGTAGTGTACAGTGTATTGTGTGTAGTGTATAGTGTATTTTGTGTAGTGTATAGTGTATTGTGTGTAGTGTATAGTGTATAGTGTGTCGTGTATAGTGTATTGTGTCGTGTATAGTGTATTGTGTGTAGTGTATAGTGTATTGTGTGTAGTGTATAGCGTATTGTGTGTAGTGTATAGTGTATTGTGTGTCGTGTATAGTGTATTGTGTGTAGTGTATAGTGTATTGTGTGTCGTGTATAGTGTATTGTGTGTCGTGTATAGTGTATTGTGTGTCGTGTATAGTGTATTGTGTGTCGTGTAGAGTATATGAGGGGGATCACCGTGACGGGCCCCGCTGGACGGTGCTCTTCTCCTCCCACGTACACCGCAGAACAGTCCAGCAGCACGCGTCGCCGTGGCGACAGGGCGCGCTGTCGCCATGGCGACACCGCAGGCAGCAGGTGCGGATGCACCAAGCCGCGCGCGCGCTTGGCCTGGCGGCACCGTAGCAGGGAGGCAGCCTGCGGCACGAAAAAACACAGAGCGGATACAGGGGGCCCTGCAGGGTCAACGCGCTCACTGGGTGAGCAGGTGGGTGGGAAGGTGAGTGAGCAGGTGAGTGAGCAGGTGGGTGAGCGGGTGGGCGAGCGTGTGAGCAGGTGGGTGGGTGAGTGGGTGAGCAGGTGAGCGAGTGTGTGAGCGGGAGGGTGGGCGAGCGGGTGAGCGAGTATGTGAGCGGGAGGGTGGGTGGGTCAATAGGTGGGTGAGTGGGTGGGTAGATAAATGAATGGGAGGGTGGTGAGTTAGTGTGTGGATGGGTAGGTGAGTGGATAGGTGGGTGAGTGAGTGGATGGGTGGGTGAATAGGTGAGTGAGTAAGTAGGTGAGGGAGTGCATAGGTGAGTGAGTGAGGTCAGTTAGTAGATAAGTGAATGTATGCGTGAGTGACTAGGTGAGTAGGTGAGTATGTGAGTGAGTAGGTGAGGGGACACTGTCAGGCTTGTTGCCACTCCTGCCCCACTCGCGTTGATCTTTGTCTTTTACCTTTGCATACCAATTAAATATTTTTATTATTTAATTAAACATTTATTTCTGTTTGAAAGTCACCTTCTAGTTTTCTAGTTTTACACTATAGAGTCGTTATTTTTAGGTTAAGGAGCAGCTGAGGCCTCACTGAGCTGCTGCTCCCTGGGTCTGCCCGAGCTGCTGGTCCCTGGGTCTGCCCGAGATGCTGCTCCCTGGATCTGCCTGAGCCCTTGACTCAAACCAAGTTGATTTCATCTCTTGATTTGTGCTTCAGTATAACCACTATCTGATTGGCCTACTTCCACACCTGCCCATCTTGGCCTGTGGTCAGCTTGCTGTGCTCTACAACCAGCGTGTGTCTTGTCTCAGCTAAGTTAATCTCATCACCTGATATCGGCTTACTCAGTTCATGACCTTAGGAGCCTCCGTCCCTTTTCCCCCCCCGAGGACTTTAGGGTGGACGGAGGAGGCCTGTCGGGAGGTTGGAATCTGGGAGCCAGTGAGGATGGTTCCAATTCATTGTCTACCCATAACATCTCGGTAGTATCACATCTGCATCGGACCCTCAGATCCAGACTCCCAGAATCCCTTCCCCATTGGCCTAGGGTTATAATAAACATACCTAACCAACTTTCCACTGAGCTGCAGTGGCAAGAAGGAGCCTGTACTGAAGTTCATGCTTATGAACGCGAGGTCGGTCGTGCAAAGCGCCCCTTCAGTACGTGACACGATCGCTATGAGCTGTCCCCACCTAGCTTTTATTAGCGAAACATAGTTTTGACTTGGAGTCGACAAACCTTTGGCTGATTTAGTCCCAGGTGGGCATTCAATATTGCATATTCCCCAGACAGGTAAAAAGAGGGGTGGGTGGGGTGGCGGTGATCTTTCAGACTCATTTCGTCTGTGCCATGTGCCCTGGTCCCAAAATTGAGTAATTTGAATTACATGATCGTGCGTTGTGCCCCGAATGAGAATCAGGGCCTGTATTTGTTTATAGACCACCAGGAAGCAAAGGTGATTTTACGTCTCAGCTGTCTGAGGTGATGCCTCCCTTGTTCCTGAAATTCCCTCCACAATTGTGCTGGGAGATTTCAACATATGGATGGATGACACATCTGACAGTTTAGCTACAGACCGTTTGGATACCATCGGTTCCATGGGATTTACTCAGTTTATTCAGGGCTCAACCCATCATCATGGCCACGCGATCGACCGAGTATTCGCCCAGCGGGTCTCAGTTATGACCACTAAATTTTCGTTCGCAATATGGACTGATCACAGAGTGATTCATGTCGAGATCAAGGGTCTCCCCACCCCTCTGCGAAGGTCTGGGGGACTTCAGGGACGCCGAGTTCGGCACAAAAGGCGCATGACCCCTTCTGGATTTCATGACGCCTAATCCGCATATATTTCTTCTGACTGTGACAGTGGTACCATCAATGAAAGGGTTGATAAGTACAATTTATTGCGCCGATCTGCTAAAGATGACCTTGCTCCTCACCACCGTCTTCATGCTCCAGTTACCATGACCACTCCCTGGTATTCCAGAGAACCCAGGGCCCTGAAAAAATAACTTAGGAAAATGGTACGATGCTGTCGCAGATCTCAACTTGATGATCGAACAACTCTATGAGCCTGTCAATGGGCTTACACACGGGCTATCTTCATGGCGAAGAAAAATTAGGTCGCCATGAGGATTGATTCGGCAAGGAACCGACCCCTGCTGAGGTGTTCAGGATGGTCAACAGTTTGCTTCACCAAGACTGTACGTCAATAAAGATTGCTCCTTCTGAAGAGCGCTGCAAAGATTTACATCAGTTATTTGCTAATAAGATCGATCGCATTAGAGAGGGTATCTGCCCAGCAATTAGTCCTGATCCTAGCTTGGACCCAAGGGCTCCTCTTATTTGAGGCCTTTCCCTGGTCCTGCCTGCAGACCTCATCCATAAGAGTTTTTTTTAGGTTAGATTGTGTAAATATATAAATGTGTTGTTAAAACCCACCACCACCCGACACAGCCAACTAGTAAGGGTTGTTATGTAAACAGAACGTGCCAATTTGTCACTAGTACAACACACCGGTGTGTTGGAGCGCCAAGCCACATTTACCATCTGAGTATGACGTTTCGCCAGCAATTACAACTAACTTAAGACGGCAGCCAGATTTGTGGAGAGAAGTCCACCTGTTTCGTTCCTTCTATAGAGGTGTAGATGTGGTGGCCACACATATGTGCTCTTGCGCAAAGTGGTTAATGAACTAATGTACATTATGCATTCGCATTATGCGAGCCCTTTGATCCTGTCCTTCCTGTCCACTGTGTGTATAAAAAATAGCCGTACCAACAGTAATCCCTATTGAAGTGTGGTGCCCTGTATAGACATGCAGGTAAACAATGTATTATACTGGTAGGAACGAAGTGGACCAGCCTACAATAGATTATATCGTCCGTCCGTCCGATGTCCGATTACGTGTAGCAACATCGCCCCCTACTGAAAACACTTGGCATGACCCTACAAAAACATTTAGACTCTGTGAGGCTTTCCTGGCTAAACAAGTGTAACATTCCCTTATAATTCCCTCAGATAGCTTTTAATTAAAACATTTAAATTAATTAGGCTTTCCTGGCTAAACACGTGTAACATTCCCTTATAATTCCCTGAGATAACTTTTAATTAAAACTTTGAAATTAAATAAAAAAACTCACAGCGCCCTAAAGCCTACAGCTAGGCCTAAAGCCTAGAACTATGCCTCAAAGTCTCCCTTCATATCGTACCCCCGCATGTGTGAAAGGGAGTTAATATTTAACAATGTTACATTCCCTGATGTTTTAAAATAGAAACATTTACATTTAAAGCTTTTACATTAATAATTAAAACATTTCAATTATACATTAATAATTAAAACATTTAAATTAAAAATAACTCACAGCGCCCTAAAGCCTACAGCTAGGCCTAAAGCCTAGAACTAGGCCTCAATCTCCCTTCGTATCGTCCGATTAGGTGTAGCAACATCGCCCCCTACTGCAAACACTTGGCAGGACCCTAGAAAAACCTTTCGACTCAGTGCGGCTTTCCTGGCTAAACAAGTGTAATAATACATTATGTTTATATTCTTTGGTTATTCGTTCCTACCAGCCCACCCCGCAGGGATCCTGTTTTGAGGATTTGCTTCCACGAAGCACTAAGTCGGTTGCTGTCTGGAACAGTTACGATTATTTTTACATCTTACATTTTCGATATATTCTCTAATTAGTCTTGGCCAGTAATAACTAGTTTTGCACAGAACTTCAACATTATAAAAATTAATTGAGTGTCCTTGTTGGCACACGTGCTTTGCTACTGCTGACGGTACTCAGATTGTAAATGTGGCTTGGCTCTCCAACACACCGGTGTGCTGTAATAGTGACAAATTGGCCACGTTCTCTTTACGTGACAACCCTTACTAGTTGGCTGTGTCGGGTGGTGGCGGGTTTTAACAACACATTAATATATTTACGCGATCTAACCCAAAAAAACTATTTTGGATATTCGTCGCGAAAGCCGACGTGTTAAACAGACCTCATCCAGACTACTGCGGGGATGAATTGGACCACTTGTGATTTTTCTCCCTGTCCCTCTTGGCTTCTTAAGGATGCCTTTGAGCCAGTGATCAACTCTTCCAGGTTTTATTGCAGCGCCTACGGGACCTGGCAGGAATCAGAGGCACTTGCAGTGGATTGGATCTTTTCTGCAGGACAGGACCCAGCAGGTGGCCTCGGTTCTCCACGTGTCCCCTGCTGGACCCTCCCCCTTCCGGTATCCCCCAGGGGTCAGTCTTATCTCCCCGATTATTCAACGCCTGTTCGGCCGCTGGGAGCTATCACTTGGAGGCACAAGTTAGTGCCATCAGTACGCCGATGACACCCTGATAGTCTCCTTCAAGTGACCCAGACACAGCTCTCGTCTGCTTAACAGACTCTCTGGCAGAGGTAGCTGCATGGATGCAGCAGAACTGGCAAAAGGTTGAATCCTGACAAGACAGAGTTGATGATCGCAGGATCAGAGAGTCGCCTGAGGATGGGAAAGGGGGAGCTTGAGCCTCCATTAATTGATGGAGTACGCCCTCTCCCTGTAACAGTGGTGCACGACCTCGGTGAACTGTTCGATCGTCGCCTGACCATGCGCCCTCAGGTTGCAGCTGTGGCCAAAGCGGGGTTTAATTACCTAAGAATACTCCGAGGGCTGCGACCCCTCTTATCCGCTCGCGATCTTGAAACACTGGTTCACACCTTTGTGTCGGCGCGTCTGGATTACGGAAATGCTTTGTATGCTGAGCTGCCTCGTGGACTGGTTCGGAAACTGCAGCTGGTGCAAAATGCGGCTGCCTGCGTGCTTAGACGTGTTAGCCGTTTCGAGCACGTAAAACCAATCCTCCGTGATCTACACTGGCTACCAGTCAGCTATCGCATACAATTTAAGTTAACTGTAATGATTTACAAAGCTCAAAGCGGTCTTGGTCTGGGCCCCCAGATGTCAAGGTAGATTTGCCTTGCGCTCCTCAGGCCAGGCCCTGTGAGCTCAACCTAGAATTTTTCATTCTACGCTGGGCGGTAATAGGGGCCTTCTCGAGTGAGGCGCCTAAGATCTGGAACTCTCTTCCACCGGTCTCCAGATTAGCTCCAAGCACCTAACTGTTTGGGGAAACTCTGCAAGACAATTTGTTTCCTTTAAGCTTTTCCTTGAGTATGTCCTCTCATTTATATTTGTATATGTATCTTGATTTTATAGGTAAACAAAGGACTACCATTGTTTAATTTATACTTTAAAGCATTGCGATGCCCTCTTTAATGGGGGCGAGTTTTTATAAAAAAAAAGTTGAATGAATGAGGTGTGTGAGCAAGTAAGTGAGCGAGTAGGTAAGCGTGTGTCTCCTCACCTTGCGTTTGCCACCCTCGGTGTCGCTCTCGCCACCACCACTCCCCTCGTCCAGTGCCAGAATCGCCCCCTCCTCCTCCTCCTCCTCTAGATCTTCTTCCTCCTCTTCTTCCTCCTCTTCCTCCTCCTCCTCCTCTTCATCTTCATCGTCAAACTCCTCCTCATCCTCCTCATCCATCTCCTCCTCTGCATGTCGAGCGCATTCTCCCTCTTCGCAGTCGTTACAGATCTCCTCATCCTCCTCCTCCTCATCTTCCAACTCCTCCTCCTCACCGGCTCCACACTCCTCACAACCCTCCTCACCGCACACAGCACACTCCTCCTCCTCTTCATCATCCAGCTCCTCCTCATCAAAGTCTTCCTCCTCCTCATCCTCCTCATCATCATCATCGTGCTGCTGCAGCAGCAGGAGCTGCTGCTGCAGCTGCTCGTCGTCGTCGTCGCCGAGGGTCTCTTGACGTCCCTGCGTGGCGGGCGCTGCGCTGACCGTGCCCTCCTCCTCCTCCCCCTCTTCCTCCCCTTCCCCCCCCACCTCTCCCTCCTCCCCCTCGTCGTGCCGAGGCAGGAGCCGAAACGGCCGCCTCCTCCTCACTCACCTCGTCGTGCCTCGCTGCTGCTGCCTCCTCTTCCCCCTTCTCCTCACCAGACACCTTCACCCTCACCACTGCAGTCTCCTCCTCCTCCTGTGTCTTATCTTCCGTCTGCTGCTGCTCCTCCTCTCTCTCAGCTCTCACCTCTTTCCTCACCTCATCTCCCTCCTCCTCTTCTCCCTTCCCCCGTTTCCCCTCCTCCTCAACCTCCCCCTTCTCCTCCTCTTCCTTCTTCTCTTCCTTCTTCTCCTCCTCTTCCTTCTTCTCCTCCTCTTCCTTCTTCTCCTCCTCTTCCTTCTCCTCCTCTTCCTTCTTCTCCTCCTCTTCCTTCTCTTTTTCCTTCTCCTTTTCTTCCTCCTCCTTTTCTTCCTCCTTCTGCCCCTCCTCCTTCTGCCCCTCCTCCTTCTGCCCCTCCTCCTTCTGCCCCTCCCCCTTCTGCCCTTCCCCCTTCTGCCCCTCCTCCTTCTGCCCCTCCTCCTTCTGCCCTTCCCCCTTCTGTTCCTCCTCCTTCTGCCCCTCCTCCTTCTGCTCCTCCTCCTTCTGCTCCTCTCCCTCCTTCCCCGCTGGTTTCTTGCCATGGTCCCCCTCTTTATTCTCAACCTCGTCATCGTCCTCATCGCCACTGGACAGCACAACTAGATGCACGGGGTCACGGGGACACAGGGTCACGGGGTCACAGTGTGTTTGTGTGGCGCAGTGTATAGGAGTGGTAGGGCAGTGGTTAGCGCTGCACTGTGCATTGAACCCGACAGTGACCAGAGTTTAATTCCTGCTCACGGCCAACCAAAAGTGATGGCGATTATCTGAACTCGGTCCTGGGCCTCCCCTAGGGTGAGTCAGCTATAAATAAGTACCTGGTGTGGTGTGCAAACCTCAGCACTGGAGAGACAAAGGCGGCCGGGCGTGGTGCTGGCCACCCAAACCACAGGTTTCTGTGAGTGAGCAAGTGAGCGTGCACGCATGTGTATGTATTATATATCCGTATAGAGTTAACATATTGCCACAGTGGCGAGATGTTAACTGCTGAACCTGATATGCAGGAGGTCGTGGGTTGACCCTATTGGTCAACGATGTTATGTATGCTGATGATCTGGTGATTGCTGCTCACTTTACTGCTGAACCTCGAAAGTGCCACTAAGAGACAGGGCATGACCATCAGCCCCACCAAAACCGAGCATCTGCCTGGGTATTTTGTGCCATCAAACACTCCACCCCCACAACTCCTAATTGGTGATAGGGCAGTTGTGGAGAGATTGGAGAGTTTTCCATACCTGGGCAGTGTGCTCATGGCCAGCTCCGGTTTAACAGCAGAGGTATCACTCCAAATCAGTCGAGCGGCATTTTTATCCGTGGTGTAACGCTGCATTTGAAGCTACCTGGTGTGTAGCTCAGCCACAGTAATGACCTCCTTTCTCTATGCTTGCAAAAAAAGGACTCCTCCAATGGAATATCTGCGCCGGTTTGAACACTCAATACATTTCGGCTGGCCTGCGCCTATGATCCATCCTGGGTTTAACCAGGCTGGATCGTGCGAGGAGCCCACAGATCCTTGAAATATTTGGACAGCCCCACCAGTGAGCTCCTCCAGCAGGTGAGGCTGTGTTGGCTGGTTCACGAAGTCAGCATGCCCAAGCAACTTCTGTTCGGCTGGATAGAAAAGGCATGTCTGTGGGCGTGCATGTGTGCTTGCATGAGCATGTGCGTGCAAGCGTGCGTTCATGCCTGTGCATGCGTGCGTGCATGCCTGTGCGTGTGTGCACACGCGCGTGTGTGCGTGCGTGTGCTTGCGCATGCGTGCGTTCACATGTGTGCACGATCGTGTGCACGAGTGAGCGTGTGTGTACTCTTAGGTTTTTTCGGTAAAGTCACGTAGGTAAAAAAATTAAATAATAAATGAAAATAACTCAATTAAATCACGACGTTTCGGAAGCAACACAAGCCTCCGTCATCAGGTGTAACTGCTCCAGTAAAAAATACTGGAGCAGTTACACCTGATGACGGAGGCTTGTGTGATTTAATTTAGTTATTTTCATTTGTTATTATTTTATTTTTTTACCTACGTGACTTTACCGAAAAAACCTAAGAGTATGAATCCTTGCAGTCACGAAAGCTTCAAATCTAGAATGACTGCATGTGTCTGTGCACGTGTGTGTGTCTGTGTACGTGCTCGCTCACTGGGCTCGTCAGGCTTGCTGTGGATCGGGGTGAGGGGCATAGGGCGGCCGTGAAGAGGGGAGCCAAGACGCCCCCCGTTGCATTGCAGGCGCAGGGAGGAAAAGGCGTGGTGAGGGTGCGGGGAGCCCCCCACGAAACCTGGTGGCTTCATGGCTCCATTGGGGGGCCAGCAGCTGGAGAAAGAACCCTGAAAGAGAGAAAGAGGGAGACAAAACAGTCTCTGTCTCTCAGACTCAAGAGACATACACAAAAACAAGCACAGAGACACAAAGAAACTCACACAACGTGAAGGCCACGTGAAGTATCGAATACCCGCTGGCAGAATTCACGGGATAAACCCAGGTGCCATGGGTTGCCTGACTAATATGACTGATGCACCACCTGTGCCCCCTACTGTACAAACATGCTGTGTTTAAGCCACCCAGCGATACGCTCGTTGTTGCGAGCATTGCTCTTCTGCCCTCCGTTGTTGCTGGAGGGCGACTGCCTCCAACTGCCCAGTAGCGTCCTTCACGAGCCTCCTCCAGAGGCCAATCTTGACACCGCTGATACCAGTCATCGGCAAGTCCACTCAGCTGCACATCCTCTTGTAACAAATCACTACATCTCTTCTCGAGCCCGTGCCACCCCATTTAACCCCCTCTATCTGGCTTAACAAAAGCTGTTTAGGTATGCGGTGGCTGGGCATGTGGGCTACATAACCCAGCCAACGCAGCCTTGATTGCCGAAGGATCTCACCAATGGACCGTCCAGATCTTTCAAAGAATTGTGAGCTCCTTACATTAATCCAGCCTGTTTACACCCAGAATGGATCGTAGGCAGACCAGCCTAAATGTTTATAACCGGCGAAGATGTTCCATTTCGGGGGTCCCCGTTTCGTAAGTCATAGATGTCTGCCCACAGGGACCTCCGGCTCAAGTTGAGTTAAGATTTTTTCCGCATTTGTTTTTGGTAATTAAATCGAAGGTCGAGGGGTTACCAGCCCCTCGCACCCGTCAAGAGCCTCCATTGGCTGCTGTGGTGGCTACTAACTCGATGAGGGGAATAGCCGATTAAAATTTGACTTCAATGGCATTGCGCACCACACCGTCTGGCACCACCGAGGAGATAGGGGGTTGTTTGCCGGACTCAGACACAGACACTCAGAGTCTCACACAGAAGCTCACACAGACCCACACAGAGACCAACACAGAGAACTCGCACAGAGACTCGCAGAGACTCGCACAGAGACTCGCACATTCACCATCGCTCTCTCCATCACAACCTCCATATTCGCCAACTATCAGGCTCAGGCAGTGCATCTCACCTGCGCGCCTCGCTGGTGGCCCCCGCCCAGCGGCAGCTGCCCCACCCCGCGGCCTCCCCGGCCCCCCGCGGCCGCCATTAGAGCCGCCCCACCCCCGGCGCCCCCCCTGGCCCTCCCGGCCCCCACCAGCGTGGCCCCTCGCCCGGCACGCAGGAGGGAGTTCTGCTGCTGCTGGTGGTGGTGCTGGTGGTGGTGCTGGTAACTGCGTAGCTGCTGCTGCTGCTGCTGGTGCCGGTCATAGTGCGGCACAGCTCTGGACGAGGCAGCGGAGCAAGCGGCGGGACCCCCCACGCCCCCTCCCCTAGGACCGCCCCTCTGCTGCTGCATTAGGGAGTGGTGCAGCAGCAGCTGAGAGGCGGCTGCCCTCTGCTGGGGTTGCTGGGCCGGGGTGCGAAGCGCAGGGAGGCGGCCGCCCGTGGAGGAGCGGAAGGGCCCGCGGGGGCCAAACGACGGTGACGCGTGGCCGGAGGGGTGGGCATGGGCCTGGCGTGGGGAGGGCCGGCTCAGGGAGAGGTGGCGGCCGCCGTGAAACCCAAACGCCGTGTGGTGGTGGTGCTGCTGCTGCTGATGATGATGTTGTTGATGTTGTTGGTGGTGTTGTTGGGGTGCGGGTTTAAGCCGCTTTACGGTGTTGGCAGGCAGCTGGGCACCGCAGTGGCTGCAGTAGGTGTGGCCGTCGCTGTTCTTGAGGCAGAAGGGACACTCGGCCCAGTAGCGACTCATGTCCAGCTGCGCGGGTGAACGGGACGGCACGGGGAGACAGAGACAAAGATTCCACGAGTGTTAAGACGCACACGGTTTGCCTCTGTAGCTGCACAAAGACGGCCGGCACAGCACACGAAGGGGTGGGTGCCCAGCACCATGCCTGGCCGCGTTTGTCTCCCCAGTGGCAATGTTTGCACACCGCACCAGGTACTCAGTTGAGGCTGAGTCGATCTAGAAGAGGCCCAGGAATGGTTCCCATAATTGTCACTGTTGTTAGCAGTGAGCGCAATAACCACTACACTACCGCACAACACACACACACAGAGACGACACACCGCGCATAGACCACAGCAACCATTCGCCACTACGAGGCGGTGTACATCACCACGACATCTTGGGCCAGGCTAGGTGCTCCTTGAGGCCACGTGAAGTGTTGAAGGCTCTCTCTGCTGGAAGGCGGTAAAGGGGCAGTCTCAGGTGCCATGGATAGGACTGCTATGCAAGGCTAGGTGCTGGACATCATGGAACTGAGACGACCGATAAATGCACCAACTGCGCTCCGTACTGTGCCAACTTGCTGTGCTTTATCCGCCCGGTGCTCCGCTCGTTGTTGCGAGCGTCGCTCCTCCACAGTCCGCTGTTGCTGGAGGGCTAATGCCTCCAACTGCCCAGTAGCATCCTTCACGAGCCTCCTCCATAGAGGCTGATCTTGACACCGCTGGTACCAGTCATTGGCAAGTCCACACTCAGGTCCAGATCCTCCTGTGCCACATCAGTCCATCTCTTTTCTAGCCCATGCTACACCCGTTTAGTTCTCTCAATCTGGCAAAACAGAAGCTGCGTGGGCATGCGGTGGTAGGGCATCTGGTCTACATGACCTAGCCAACGTAGCCTCGCTTGCTGGAGGACCTCATTGATGATGGGACCGTGTCCAGATCTTTCAAGGGTCTGTGAGCTCCTCACACAATCCACCTGGTTTAACTCAGGATGGATCGTAGGGAGGACAGTCTGAATATTTCAAACCGGCGCAAATGTTCCTTCAGAGCGGTCCACGTTTCACAAGCATAGAGAAGGGAGGGCATGACTGGCCCAAGAAGCCCCGGAAGCTTTGTGTGGAGTGACGGACCAGGTAACTTCCAGAGCATTATGCAGCCGATGAAAAGACAATGCCGCTCAAGTTACAACTCAGCCGCCGAACTGGAGCGGGTCATAAGCACACTGCCCAGTCAGTATTTAGTGGGATAAAACACAGAGGCAGGTGCCTTGTTTTGTTGGGGCTGATGGTAAAGCTCCAACTCTTAGTGGCATGCGCTAGGTTCAACAGCCGAGCCTCCAACTCTCTGCAGCCATTGCAGCTGCATGAGCCACAGTCCTGAACATCACCCATTTCCCCTCACCATCAGGAGGAAGGGGAACGATGACAACCCCAGCTGCATGCAATAATGACATTCTCACTTGCAACTTTCATCAGTGCGCCAAGAGAAAATGACTGTCACTTTTGAATAGGGTGCTAAGTGAACGCCCACCACCACCACCAAAGTGGAAGAATGGCATGCGCGCATCTTACAGATGACGAGAGCCGATGGTAAGTGAGCAGATCAGTTCCACGGTAGGTTTTGGTGTCAAGGACATGGGCCCGCATCATCTGCTGTTTCCATCACTGTGTAGTCCAGGAGATGTTCTTGGTTGGACTCGACATACATGCACTGAGATTATTTAGATTATTTTGCTGCTATAGACATCCAAATGATAAGCCACTTTGTTGAGCTATCATTTACGGCCAAGTTGCTTTAAAAAAATGTAATACCTCGGTGGGCATTGCCTGGTTGGATGGGGATGGTTTAGTTGTATTTGTAGGTTGTGTTGAGGTGATTTGTTTAACTTTCTTGTACTTTGGACTACTATCTAGTTAAGTATGATTTAGTTGTTGTAACGTTTTTACCCCGTGCCCCTACTGGACATATGTGAACAAAAGATGTATAGCTCATCTGATTCCTCCTGCAGTATAAATACAATATTCTGATTCTGGATCCATGATGTTGCATGGATGCACCGATGCTGGGAGCGATTACAAAGCCCATGGGCAGCAAACAAGTTCAGCAACCTTCTACCAAACATTATTTGGCCCAGGCCAGGAGGCTGCCGTCATGACCCACTCAGGCATTAAAGTAACCCAACAGGATGAGTCGATTCCAAGAGGCCAGCCACCCTTAGCTAACACCTGTGATTAGGTGGTCATATCAGCCTTGCCTGCATCCCTCAACTGATGTTCATTTTCGGTGGTGGTGTTAGTCACCACCACCACCACCACCATTCTTCGCCTCCCATTCATGGGGAGGTGAGCGCACAGTAGCCTGGGACTGACAGCTCCCCCACACCCAACCTCCCTGCTCCCAAAAACCCACACTCATTATTCTGTTCAGAAGCAGAGCCACTCTGTTGTTTGGCAGTTCCTGCCATGAGTGTAGAACTGTCCACTCATATGATGCCTGGAGCCAGAACGAGAGGTCCAGATGGAACAGGTCCAGCTCCTGACAGAGGAGTGTCAGACTCTCCTCTGCAGTGAGCGATCTGACATTCCACGTGGTCACCCCCCGCAGTGGTCTCCTGCCGTTTATAGAGGAACCCCGAGGGTACGGGTTCCGTCCCCTGGATCCGCCAAATGGGATTTGGGTGGGAGACGTCACACAGACGCCTGCTCCCTTGCAGGACAGCCCCGTGTGCGTGTGTGCCGAGGCCAACTTGCATGGCCACAGACACACGGAGAGAGACGGAGCCACACGGGGAGAGAGAGACACGCACACGGAGAGAGACGGAGGGCCACACACACCCAGATCCCCGTGAGAGAGAAGGCGGTGGGGGGGAGGAGGGAGAAGAAGCTGCACACTCACCTGTGAGTAGGTGACACCAGGCCCCTCGTAGGTGATCTCCACCACCTCTTCCACGCCCAGCGCCTCTGCCTCCATCATCATAGCCATCGCCTCTGCCTCCTCATCGTCCTGCCGCTGCCGGTCTTCCTCCTCGCGCGACGTGGCCACGGCCGCCACCTCCACCGACATCACCACCTCCTGCCGATGCTGCTGCCCCTCGCCTCCCTCACAGCTCTGAGCGCCTTCACCTCCCTCGACGTCGCCCTGCAATGCCTCGGTGACCGCTTCCGCTTTCCTCCTCTCCTCCTCCTTCTCCTCAATCTTCTCCTCAATCTTCTCCTCAATCTTATCCTCAATCTTATCCTCAATCTTCTCCTCCTCCTCCTCCTTCCCCTCCTCCTTCCCCTCCTCCTTCCCCTCCTCCTTCCCCTCCTCCTTCCCCTCCTCCTTCCCCTCCTCCTTCCCCTCCTCCTTCCCCTCCTCCTTCCCCTCCTCCTTCCCCTCCTCCTTCTCCTCCTCCTCCTTCTCCTTCTCAATCATCTTCATCTCATTCTCTCTCTTGCCACTGCTGCTCCCCCCCACCGTGCTCCCCAGAGACGCCGAGCGGACACGGCCACCCCAAGAGCCGCCCCTTGAGACTGCCCACGCACCTCCCCCTCGGTCCAGTTTCACCCGCTTGGGGGACACGCCCACAGAGACGTCCACCTCCTCCAGCAGGTGCTTCACACCGCCTGCGAGACACGAGAAAAGCCAGAGAAATGGGGGGGGGGGGGGGGGGAGAGACACGGGGGGGGGGGGAGAGACACAGTGTGAGAGAAACAGGCAGAGAGAGACAAAGGCAGAGACATAGGGAGAGAGACGTGGGGAGAGAGACATGGGGGAAGAAACAAGGACATAGGGAGAGGGAAACAAAGAGTATGTAATTTTAACATGACCTACATCTCTGCTTTAATTGACTTGGCAAAGGTCTATGATACCATCAGTAGACCAGGGCTCTGGGTTGTTCTTCGTACTTTCAGAGTCCCTGACTCTCTGGTCACAATCATTAAGGGCCTACTTCATGGTGGGCAGGCCTGGGTAAAGCTACGTGGCCAGGAGTCAGAGCCAATTCCCTGTTCACCTTGGGGTGTGACAGGGACGTCCCTCCGGCCCCAACATTACTGAACATCTTCTTTGACCAAGTAGTTCGAAAATCTTTCCACGGCTGAACCGGTGGAATTACCATCTGGTATGGATACAATGGGAGGCTGAGAGATGCCTGTCTGCGTGTGTGAATCTGCATGCGTGGGTTTCTGCATGCGTCTTTGTGAAGCTTTGCGTGTCTCCACTTCACTCCGCACATCCCGAAATTTGTCTCTCCGCATCTTTCTTCGTTTGTCTCTATTCCAGCGTGTCTATGTCCCTCTCCCAGTGTGTACGTGTCTCTCCCCACGTACCCATGTCTCTCCCCGCGTTTGCCGTGTCTCTTCCCGCATCTCTCTACGTGTACATGCCTCTCTCTGCGTGCCCGTACCTCTCACCCCGTGCATCTCCGTGTCTCTCACCGTGTGCCCGTGTCTCTCTCCCCACGTGTTTGTGTTCCTCCCCCCGCGTATTCGTGTCTCTCCCCACGTGTCCCATGTCTCACCTCGCACGTCTCCGAGCTGCCCGTCGTCCGGGAGCCTCTCACAGAGGACGCGACAGGCCAGGCCCGCAGGCTCCAGAGAGCGCAGCGAGCGCGGAGAGATCAACGACGTCGGGGGAAGAGGAGATGGTGCTGAGCCATGCACCACGGGCGGAGTTGGGCATGATGGTGATGATGGTGGTGGTGGAGGTAGAGATGGTTGTGATGGTGACACTGATGGTGGGGGGTTTGATAATTGTTGTGATGATGAGGATGCCTTGGGTACGGACGTATCCAAGGAGACATCTAGAGGCAACAAAGGGGGTGGGTTGGTGAGAGTGAGGGCAATTGTGAGTGTACATGATTGAGTCAGCGAGCGAGCATGAGTGTATGTTAGTGAAGGAGTAAGCGAGCGAGTGCGAGTGTACGTGGGTGAGCGAGTGTACGAGTGTGAGTCAACGTGAGTGAGTGTACAAGTGTATGAGTGAGTGTGAGTGAGCTAGTGTATGAGTGTGTATGTGTGATGTGTGCGAATGATGGGGAGCAGTGTAGCAGTTAGCGCCACGCTGCGCTATGAACCCGGCGACCCGAGATTGATTCGTGCTCACGGCCAAAACCAGTGATGATTGTCTAAACCGGTCAAGGGCCTCCCCTAGGTCGACACAGACTTAAACGAGTACCTGGTGTGGTGTGTAAACATCACCACTCGGCAGACAAGGCGGCCGGGCATGGTGTTGGCCACCCATGCCCTCATGTGCCGTGTCAGCCTTCATAGGTGCTACTCGCTAAGGGCACTTGCACCAACAGTTTGTTGAGGCTATACGGGGGATATTTATATATGTCTGTGTGTAAGGGTGAATGAGTGTGCGAGTCTAAGTCGGTGTGTGAGTCTGCGTGAGTGAATGAGTGAATCAGCATGTGTGAGAGTAAGTCAGTGAGTGTGCGAGCGAGTCTGAGGATGTGCGAGTCTCTGAGTGAATGAGAAAGTCAGCACATGTGAGAGTAAATCAGTGAGTGTGCGTGTGAATGTGCGTATGCGAGCGAGTGTATGAGTGTGTGCGAGCGAGTGGTGAGTGTGTAAGTGAGCAAGTGAGTTTTTGAGTGTGCGAGTGAGTGTGTGAGTGAGTGCGCGAGTGAGTGCGCGAGTGAGTGCGCGAGTGAGTGCGCGAGTGAGTGCGCGAGTGAGTGCACGAGTGAGTGCGCGAGTGAGTGCGCGAGCGAGTGTGCATGCGTGAGCGTGCGAGTGAGTGTGAGTGTGCGTGTGCGAGCGAGTGGTGAGTGTGTAAGTGAGCAAGTGAGTGTTTTGAGTGTGCGAGTGAGTGTGTGAGTGTGCGCGAGTGAGTGCGCGAGTGAGTGCACGAGTGAGTGCGTGAGTGAGTGCGCGAGCGAGTGTGCATGCGTGAGCGTGCGAGTGAGTGTGAGTGTGCGTGTGTGAGTGAGTGTGAGTGTGTAAGTGAGCAAGTGAGTGTGTGCGAATGAGTGAGTGTGCATGTGCGAGCGACCGTGTGAGTGAGCGAGCATGTGTACGTGAAACCTCACCTGTGTTAAATTCATGTCCATCTCTCAGTTCAGACTCCTCCACAGCCAAGACAGACTCCGCCTCCCTGAATAGGCACACACACTCAGCTGTGAGTGAGCCAGTGAGTGTGTATATATATACAATCTATGGGGAGTGGTAGTGCAGTGGTTAGCATGCTGCGCTATGAACCCAGTGACTCGAATTGGATTCCTTCTCACGGCCACCAACGACAATTACCTAAACTGGTCCTGAGCCTCCTTCCCTAGGTCGACTCAGCCTCAAATCAATAACTGGTGTGTTGTGTAAACATCGACACAAGGGGACACAAAGGCGGCCGGGCGTGGTGTTGGCCATCCCCCCCCTCGTGTGCCGTGCCGGCCTACATAGGTGCTCGTTAACAGCACTTGCCCGAACAATCTGTTAGGCTATATGGAAGATCTTTGTCTTCGTCTAGTGGTGTGTGTATATAGTTGTATATGTGTGTGTGTAAACTGGCAAAACAACATCCTACCTCCTCGTTGGTGCCGGACGGTCGTGCTGTGGTGAGCAGTGCCATGGGGGGAGGACCAATATCAATTGGCCATTCCTCTCATGGTATTTGTAGCCACCACAGCAGCCAAAGGGAGCTCTGGACAGGTGCAAGGGGCTGGTAACACCTCCTACTTAAATTAATAACCACAAAATCACGGAAAAAAATCTAGCTCGGCTTGTGCCCGAGGACCCAGGGGGACAGGCGTCTGTGACTTCTCCTGGCCAAACCCAATTTGACGGAGCCAGGAGACCGAATACTTACCCTCAGGGATTAGCCAGAGACAACAAAAAGCCACTGCTGGTAGCCACGTGAAATGTTCGAATGCTCACTGTAGATCAGAGGCTGCCACTCCTCGATCGATAGCTGGACCGGTACCGTCTGCATCTCTGTGGTATTCAAGGAGGTCCGGTGGACCGGCTCTGGCTTCAGTCACCATGAGGGGTGGACAGTCCTCCACTCAGGGCAGGAAATTAATAAACAACAAGGAGAGGCTCTTCTGAACAAAAGAATGAAGGGGGTGTGGGAGCGTGGCGATGAGGTGTGGGAAGCTGTAAGCTCCAGCCTATTTTGGGATCCTCTTCCCATCAACCAGAGGCGAGGAGTGGTGGTGGTTACTTATGCCCCCACCGAAAAACAACATCAGTGGAGGAATGCAGGCAAGGCCAATGACCTCTTGTCACAGGTGCTCGCGAAAGTGGCCCCTCAGTATAGAGACCACCGGACAGGAATTATCTCCCAAGCGAAATGCTGAGGGAGGGTGACTTTTGAGCGCAGACTGCCCTATTTGACATCATAATAACAGTCTGGACCACTGGACGAGTTCCGCAGGATTAAAAGGATGCCCTGGTGGTCCCCTTCTTTAAGGGGGACCGCACAGACTAACAACTACAGGGGCATCTCCCTCCTCAGTGTGCCGGGAAAGGTCCTGGGAAGGATTATTCAACATCGCCTTGCCAGACATGCTGAGGAGAGGCTTGCGGAACCACAATGTGGTTTCAGAAAAGGGTGGTCATGCACAGATGCCACATTTTATGTCCATCTGCTACAGCAGAAGTGTAGAGAATTCCAACAGGACCTACATCTCTGCTTTATTGACCAGGTCAAATCCTATGATACCATCAGTAGGCCTGGGCTATGGGTTGTTCTTCGTGCTTTCGAAGTCCCTGACTCTCTGCTCACAATCATTAAGGACCTTCATAATGGTGGGCAGGCCCAGGTAAAATTACATGGGCAGGAGTCAAAGCCATTCCCTGTTCACCTTAGAGTGTGACAGGGATGTCCTCTGGCTCCCACATGATTTAATATCTATTTCGACCACGTAATTCATGTAACCTTCGATGGCTCTACGGGAGGAATTTCCATCTGGTGCAGATACAATGGGAGGCTTGATCAGTGCCCAGGTACGGTCAAGGGATGGCTTCCTAATGGTCAATCATGTTACGTATGCTGATGATCTGGTGATTGCTGCTCACTCAAACGGGGAGTTGGAGGCGCTGCTGCTGAACCTGGAGCGTGCCACTAAGAGGTGGGGCCTTACCATCAGCCCCACCAAAACTAAGCACCTGCCTGGGTATTTTATACCATCAAACACTCCACCCCCACAACTCCCAAATGGTGATGGGGAGAGTGGAGAGTTTTCCATACCTGGGCAGTGTGCTCATGACCAGCTCCGGTTGGACAGCAGAGGTATCACTCCAAATCAGTTGAGCGGCATGATCTTTCCATCAGCTGTGTTACCCTCTAAGGAAGCTACCTGATCTGTCGCTCCACACGAAGCTTCAGGTCTTCTCGGCCATGGTCATGCCCTCCCTTCTCCATGCTTGCCGGTTAGAAACATTTAGGCTGGCCTGCCTAAGATCCATCATGGGTTTAATCAGGCCGGATTATGCTAGGAGGTAAAAAATCCTTCAAAGATCTCCACAAAGTCCCATCAGTGAGCTCCTCTGGCAGGCAAGGCTGCGTTGGTTGGGTCATGTAGCCCGCATGCCCAGCCACCACATGTCTAAACAGCTTTTGTTCGGTCGGATAGAGGGGCTAAATGGGCGCAGCACAGGCTAGAGAAGAGATGGAGTGATGTGGTAGTAGATGATGTGGAGCTGAGTGGACTTGCCGATGACTGGCACCAGCGGTGTCAAGATCGGCCTGTGGAGGAGGCTCGTGAAGGACGCTACTGGGCAGTTGGAGGCAGTCGCCCTCCAGCAACAACGGAGGGCAGAAAAGAGACGCTCACAACAACAAGCGGAGAGCCGGGTGGCTAAAACACAGCAAGTTGGCACAGTAAAGGGCACAGTAAGGGGCACAGGTGGAGCATCGGCGAGTCATCTCAGTCGACCCATGGCATCTGGGTGTGTCCCGTGACCTCCTGCCAGCGGGCGTTCAACACTTCAAGTGGCCTTCACGTGCACATAGCCTGGCACAAGCGCCGTGGTTACGTCACCGCCACTTAGTGGCGAATAGCGGGTATTGGTATTGGTGTGTATAGAGCTGTGTGCGTGTATGTGTCTATACGGTGTGTGTGTGTTTAAGTCACCGGCTGCTGCTGCTGTTGCCGTTGTTGACGGGATCGTCGTGTCCATCGTTCTGCCTGCGTGGCGACGCCACCGCCGACCCCTCCTCCCCAGGCCCCCTCCCCCGGGAGCCCTCGGGGCCCCCAACCAGCTTCTGCATCTCCCCCGGAGAGATGGGGACCCTGAGCAGATGCAGAACCACCCGCGCCTCCCTACACACAGACACCACACAGACCACACCACACACACACATGTACCACACAAACACCCAGATGCACACACACCACACAGACATCACATACGCACCACACACACAGACACATGCACCACACACACAGACACATGCACCACACACACAAGACACTGACACCACACAGACACACGGACCATACAATCACACAGATGCACACACACCACACAGACACCGACACCACACACAGACACATACCACACACAACACACATACCACACACACCGACATACGTACCCACACACACGCACCACACGCCACACACACACAGACACCACACAGACACCACACGCCACACACACAGACACCACACAGACACCACACACAAAAATCCCAAGCATAGCCTTTAACAGACTTTTCGGGCAAGTGCTGTTAGTGAGCAGTAGCAGAGCCTATGATGGCCGGCACTGTGGCACACGAGGGGGTGGGTGGCCAGCACCACGCCCGGCCGCCTTTGCCGTCCCAGTGGCGATGTTTACCACACACCGCAAACAGGTACCCATTTAAGGCCGAGTCGACCTAGGGGAGCCACAGGACTGGTTCAGATAATCGCTATCACTGGTGATGGCCATGAGCGGCAATTGAACTCGGGTCATAGCTGGATTATACATAGATATTGACGTAGATATATGTAAATATAAACCCATATACAGGTCCAAACGCAGTGAGTGAGTGCTGTGAGTGCTGTGAGTGAGCACTGAGTGAGCACTGAGTGAGCACTGAGTGAGTGCTGTGAGTGAGCACTGAGTGAGTGAGTGAGCACTGCGAGTGAGCACTGAGTGAGCACTGAGTGAGCACTGAGTGAGCACTGAGTGAGTGAGCACTGAGTGAGTGAGTGAGCACTGAGTGAGTGAGTGAGCACTGAGTGAGTGAGTGAGCACTGAGTGAGCACTGAGTGAGTGAGCACTGAGTGAGCACTGAGTGAGTGAGCACTGAGTGAGTGAGTACTGAGTGAGTGAGTGAGCACTGAGTGAGTGAGCACTGAGTGAGTGAGTGAGCAGAGTGAGTGAGCACTGGGTGAGTGAGTGAGCTGAGTGAGTGAGCACTGAGTGAGTGAGCACTGAGTGAGTGAGCACTGAGTGAGTGAGTGAGCACTGAGTGAGTGAGCACTGAGTGAGTGAGTGAGCACTGAGTGAGCACTGAGTGAGTGAGTGAGCACTGAGTGAGTGAGCACTGGTGAGTGAGCACTGAGTGAGTGAGCACTGAGTGAGTGAGCACTGAGTGAGTGAGCACTGAGTGAGTGAGTGAGCACTGAGTGAGTGAGCACTGAGTGAGTGAGTGAGCACTGAGTGAGCACTGAGTGAGTGAGTGAGCACTGAGTGAGTGAGCACTGAGTGAGTGAGCACTGAGTGAGTGAGCACTGAGTGAGTGAGCACTGAGTGAGTGAGTGAGCACTGAGTGAGTGAGTGAGCACTGAGTGAGTGAGCACTGAGTGAGTGAGCACTGAGGAGTGAGCACTGAGTGAGGAGCACTGAGTGAGTGAGCACTGAGTGAGTGAGCACTGAGTGAGTGAGTGAGCACTGAGTGTGAGTGAGCACTGAGTGAGTGAGCACTGGAGCACTGAGTGAGTGAGCACTGAGTGAGTGAGTGAGCACTGAGTGAGTGAGCACTGAGTGAGTGAGTGAACACTGAGTGAGTGAGTGAGCACTGAGTGAGTGAGTGAGCACTGAGTGAGTGAGCACTGAGTGAGCGAGCACTGAGTGAGTGAGTGAGCACTGAGTGAGTGAACACTGAGTGAGTGAGCATCTGAGTGAGTGAGCACTGAGTGAGTGAGTGAGCACTGAATGATTGAGCACTGAGTGAGTGAGTGAGCACTGAGTGAGTGAGTGAGCACTGAGTGAGTGAGCACTGAGTGAGTGAGCACTGAGTGAGTGAGTGAGCACTGAGTGAGTGAGCACTGAGTGAGTGAGCACTGAGTGAGTGAGCACTGAGTGAGTGAGTGAACACTGAGTGAGCATGAGTGAGTGAGCACTGAGTGAGTGAGTGAGCACTGAGTGAGTGAGTGAGCACTGAGTGAGTGAGTGAGCACTGAGTGAGTGAACACTGAGTAAGTGAGCACTGAGTGAGTGAGCACTGAGTGAGTGAGCACTGAGTGAGTGAGCACTGAGTGAGTGAGCACTGAGTGAGTGAGTGAGCACTGAGTGAGTGAGTGAGCACTGAGTGAGTGAGCACTGAATGAGTGAGCACTGAGTGAGTGAGTACTGAATGAGTGAGCACTGAAGAGTGAGTGAGCACTGAGTGAGTGAGTGAGCACTGAGTGAGTGAGCACTGAGTGAGTGAGTGAGCACCGAGTGAGTGAGCACTGAGTGAGGAGTGAGCATGAGTGAGTGAGTGAGCACTGAGTGAGTGAGGGAGCACTGAGTGAGTGAGTGAGCACTGAGTGAGTGAGTGAGCACTGAGTGAGTGAGCACTGAGTGAGTGAGCACTGAGTGAGTGAGCACTGAGTGAGTGAGTGAGCACTGAGTGAGTGAGTGAGCACTGAGTGAGTGAGTGAGCACTGAGTGAGTGAGTGAGCACTGAGTGAGTGAGCACTGAGTGAGTGAGTGAGCACTGAGTGAGTGAGCACTGAGTGAGTGAGTGAGCACTGAGTGAGTGAGTGAGCACTGAGTGAGTGAGTGAGCACTGAGTGAGTGAGCACTGAGTGAGTGAGTGAGCACTGAGTGAGTGAGATAGTGAGCACTGAGTGAGTGAGCACTGAGTGAGTGAGCACTGAGTGAGTGAGTGAGCACTGAATGAGTGAGTGAGCACTGAGTGAGTGAGTGAGCACTGAGTGAGTGAGCACTGAGTGAGTGAGCACTGAGTGAGTGAGTGAGCACTGAGTGAGTGAGCACTGAGTGAGTGAGCACTGAGTGAGTGAGCACTGAGTGAGTGAGTGAGCACTGAGTGAGTGAGCACTGAGTGAGTGAGTGAGCACTGAGTGAGTGAGTGAGCACTGAGTGAGTGAGTGAGCACTGAGTGAGTGAGTGAGCACTGAGTGAGTGAGTGAGCACTGAGTGAGTGAGTGAGCACTGAGTGAGTGAGTGAGCACTGAGTGAGTGAGTGAGCACTGAGTGAGTGAGCACTGAGTGAGTGAGTGAGCACTGAGTGAGTGAGCACTGAGTGAGTGAGCACTGAGTGAGTGAGCACTGAGTGAGTGAGCACTGAGTGAGTGAGCACTGAGTGAGTGAGCACTGAGTGAGTGAGCAGAGAGTGAGTGAGCACTGAGTGAGTGAGCACTGAGTGAGTGAGCACTGAGTGAGTGAGCACTGAGTGAGTGAGCAGAGAGTGAGTGAGCACTGTGCGCGCTGTCAGTGAATATCACGAGTGAGTGAATAAGTGGATGAATGAGTAGGTGAGTGGGGGGGTCGATGGGGTGGGTGGGGGAAGTGGGTGAGTGGTTGGGGGGGGGTCAGTGGTGGTTGGGGGGGGGGTCAGTGGTGGGTGGGTGGGGGTGAGTGAGTGAGTGGGTGGGTGAATGAGTAGGTGAGTGGGGGGGGTCAATGGGGTGGGTGGGGGAGGTGGGTGAGTGGTTGGGGTGGGGGTCAGTGGTGGCGAGTGGGTGAATTGGTGAGCGGGTGGGTGGGTTGGTGTGCGAGTGGGTTGGTGTGCGAGTGGGTTGGTGTGCGAGTGGGTGGGTGTGCGAGTGGGTGGGTGTGCGAGTGGGTGGGTGTGCGAGTGGGTGGCTGTGCGAGTGGGTGGGTGTGCGAGTGGGTGGGTGTGCGAGTGGGTGGCTGTGCGAGTGGGTTGGTGTGCGAGTGGGTGGGTGTGCGAGTGGGTGGGTGTGCGAGTGGGTGGGTGTGCGAGTGGGTGGGTGTGCGAGTGGGTGGGTGTGCGAGTGGGTGGGTGTGCGAGTGGGTGGGTGTGCGAGTGGGTGGGTGTGCGAGTGGGTGGGTGTGCGAGTAGGTTGGTGTGCGAGTGGGTGGATGTGTGTGGGTGGGTGAGTAGGTGAGTGATACACACGTGAAGAAGGAGAGGTAGAGGAGAAGCAGCAGGGAGTGGGTCAATGCTGAGGCTTAGCACAGCTAGAGACCACAGACCGCACACACACGCACGCACACACGCACGCACGCACACACGCACGCACACACTCACAAGCGCACACAGGGAGGAGGCGGCACACACAGACACAGACAGACATTAGAGAAAGTCAGACTCCAGTATCACCACACCTCGTGTACTGTCCGTCCTGTGTGTACTGTGTCTCTCCTGTGTGTACTGTGTCTCTCCTGTGTGTACTGTGTCTGTCCCGTGTGTACTGTGTCTCCCGTGTGTACTGTGTCTGTCCCGTGTGTACTGTGTCTCTCCCGTGTGTACTGTCTCTCCCGTGTGTACTGTGTCCCGTGCGTACTGTGTCTCTCCTGTGTGTACTGTGTCTGTCCCGTTTGTACTGTGTCTCTCCCGCATGTACTGTGTCTCTCCCGTGTGTACCGTGTCTCTCCCGTGTGTCCCGTGTCTCCTGTGTGTACTGTGTCTCTCCCGTGCGTACGGTGTCTCTCCTGTGTGTACTGTGTCTCTCCTGTGTGTACTGTGTCTCTCCTGTGTGTACTGTGTCTCTCCTGTGTGTACGGTGTCTCTCCTGTGTGTACTGTGTCTCTCCCGTGTGTACTGTGTCTCTCCCGCGTGTACTGTGTCTGTCCCGTGTGTACTGTGTCTCTCCCGTGTGTACTGTGTCTCTCGTGTGTACTGTCTCTCTCGTGTGTACTGTCTCTCCCGTGTGTACTGTCTCTCCCGTGTGTACTGTGTCTGTCCCGTGTGTACTGTGTCTCTCCAGTTTGTACTGTGTCTGTCCCGTGCGTACTGTGTCTCTCTCGTGTGTACTGTGTCTCTCCTGTGTGTACTGTGACTCTCCTGCGTGTACTGTGTCTCTCCCGCGTGTACTGTGTCTCTCCCGTGTGTACTGTGTCTGTCCCGTGTGTACGGTGTCTCTCCTGTGTGTACTGTGTCTCTCCCGCGTGTACTGTGTCTCTCCTGTGTGTACTGTGT